GCTAAATATAGCAGAAAAATTTCCCCACTAAATCTAGAGGGAAATTTTCCCCGCTAAATTTAGCAGAAAAATTTCCCCACTAAATCTAGAGGAAAATTTTCCCCACTAAATTTGGCAGAAAAATTTCCCCACTAAATCTAGAGGAAAATTTTCCCCGCTAAATTTAGCAGAAAAATTTCCCACTAAATCTAGAGGAAAATTTTCCCCGCTAAATTTAGCAGAAAAATTTCCCCACTAAATCTAGAGGAAACTTTTCCCCGCTAAATTTAGGAGAAAAATTTGCCCGCTAAATCTAGAGGAAGATTTTCCCTACTAAATTTAGTGGAATAATTTCCCCGCCAAATCTAGAAGAAAATTTTCCCCGCTAAATTTAGCGGAAAAATTTCCCCACTGAATCTAGAGGAAACTTTTCCCCGCTAAATTTAGGAGAAAAATTTCCCCGCTAAATCTAGAGGAAAAATTTCCCCGCTAAATTTAGCGGAAAAATTTCCCCACTAAATCTAGAGGAAAATTTTCACCGCTAAATTTAGTGGAAAAATTTCCCCACTGAATCTAAGGAATATTTTCCCCACTAAATTTAGCGGAAAAATTTTCCCGCTAAATCTAGAGGAAAATTTTCCCCGCTAAATCTAAAGGAAAATTTTTCCCGCTCAATTTAGCGGAAGAATTTCCCCTAAATTGGAGCCGAGCAGGGGAGGTGGAGGGCATAGCCCCCTCTCCGAACCTTCCCCTCCTTGTCCTCAAGAGCTGCGCTCTAATTCGGCGTTACAGGGAGTTGTAAACGGCTTTCATTTTTTATTTATTCGAATACCCCCATCGCCCAGTTCTGGGCATTATTGTAGGGGGGGGTAAGGCAATAATAGCAAACGATAAATATAGAGATACACAAGAACTATTATGATGCAGAAATAGTGGATATGACATTTTAGGAGAAAAATACAACACTTTGTACAATATATGAAAGTATAGTGACTGGCACTATTAGAAGAGCAAAGTGAAAAATTAATCCAACAGTAAGTTTTTTAGGGCAGTAGGAAAGAAGGAAGGTGCCGCAGAGGTGACCTCAGTTGGTAAATTGTTCTATTCGAGTATTGTTCGTGGAAAAAAAAGAGTGCTTAAAGACGTTAATTCTGCCTCTATATTCACATACTTTTAAGTGATGATCTGTACTCATAACTGGGCTCCTTAATATAACTTTCTTTTTCGATGCCGGTTCTACCGTTTAGTATGTTGAAAAATAAAGTGAGCTTAAAGCACCTTTGCCTGTGTTCCACCAGAGGCCATCCCAGGTTGCGACGTATTTCAGATGATCTTTAGAGAAATCATAATTGCCGGAGACAAACCCAGCTGCCTGTTTCTGAATACGTTCGAGTTGTTCAATGGTGTGACGGGTATGCAAATCCCACGCGGCACATGCATATTCCAAAATGGGACGTACATCCTATACGTGCAATGTTTCTTTAAGGTTAGTAGGCGCCCGACTAAAATTGCGTTTAAGAAAGTTCAATGTGCTTCTGGTCTTAGATGACAAATAATCAACACGAGCATTCCATGACAAGTTGCTAGAAAATACAACTCCCAGCTACTTATATTCAGGTACACCAGCTAAACTTGCGACACCTAGGAAATATTCTGTGGCGAGAGGTTGTCTTTTGTTAGAAAATCTGCTCAAATTTAAGGTCATATTCCACGTTTGACACCATGACATCACAGAATCGAGATTGTCTAGCAGTATTTGGGAGTCGGCCTGACACGTGATATCGCGGTATATACAACAATCGTCAGCATACAGTCGGACGCGGCTAGAAAGATGACCATCAAGATCATTTGTGTACACTAAAAAAAAAAAGGGGGCCCAACACCGATCCTTGCGGAACACCCGATAAAACGCCAACATTTGACGAGCTCACACCATCTATAGAACTACTCATTGTTTTCTTCCAACAAGATAAGCCTCAAGCCAGGTTAAAAGTGAATCCGAAATCTTAACAGCGGCCATCTTTTGTCACAATAAAGTATGAGATACCGAGTCAAAAGCCTTCCGAAAGTCCAAAAAGACACAATCGACTTGGAAACCATCGTTAATTGAAAAAGAGAGGTCATGGGTGAATTCTACTAATTGCGTATCCCAAGAAAATCCCGCTCTGAAACCGTGCTGCGGAGAAAATAATGCGTTATTCTGTAGATGATTGATTAAATTTGAGTAAATGGTGCGCTCTAGCATTTTACAAGAAACACTCGGTAAAGAAATAGGCCTATAGTTGCAGGTGCTGGTTTTATCTCCCCTTTTATGTACTGGGACCACGTTGGCGCTTTTCCAGTCAAGAGGAAGTTTGCTCTGTTCAAAAGACTTTTTAAACAACACGGTTAGATAAGGGGAAATAGAAACAGCACAGTTTTTCAGAATTAGGTTGGAAATACAATCTGGGCCTGGGGGCACTGCTTACTTTGATCTTTTGCAATAAGGACGCAATGCCACTCTCCGAGAAGTCCGTGTCATCCATTTGTTTAACAACGTTCGATGTCGGTACTCTATGAACCGGGTTCACCGGCCGAGTGAAAACCGATTGAAAATAAAGATGAAAGGTTCGAGCCTCGCTCTTTAGGTCTGTGTGCTAATTGACACCATCTATGACATCGGGGATAGCGATGCTAGTTTTCTTGTTTTTGACATATTTCCAGACCTCTTTAGGATTTCTTTTTAGTTTGTCGGGTAGAGTGTCTAGATATTGATTTTGCGCCTTTCTTTTGTTATGATTTTGCCCAGCTCCTTCATTTTGGAATATAATCTAGGTTCTTGTGAACGACAATACCTACTGAACAAACGATTCTTTTGGTTTATCAAAGTTCGAATTGCCCTATTCATCCACCCGATATGATGCATGATGGAATGTAGGTCTGCGCCAACGACAAAATTTTTGTTTAAAGAAATTCCAGGCAGAATTCATATCCAAGTTTGAGCTATGCGATTGGAATTTCAGGAAAAAACGAATCCAGTTCACGGGATAGCGTTACGTAGTCGCCTCTTTCATAAAAACACACCTAGGGTGGTTGTGCAGTGTGCCCTTGTAGAGCATCACAGGACATTCTTGTAAGGACCTCATGATCGCTTATTCCCGGTATCACATTGACTAAGGAAACAAGATTGGGGTCATTGCAAAAAATAAATCTAACAGATTAGCGCTGTTAGGACCCAGTCTTGTTGGGAGTCTGAACAAACGGAGATAAGGAGTGGACCATTTCGCGGAAAGCAGAATAAATAACAGACGTAGTCTGGATGATTGGCTGAAAAGAGACCCAGTTTTCAACGACAAGGACTGTGTATCTTGCCTCCGGACTTGGTAATATACCGCTTAATTGAAACAAGGGTTGGCAAGAGCCAGGTGGCCTATAAAAAAAGCCTCAAGCCACAGAGGAGCCATTACCAAGCATGACTTTACACGAAATAGTTTCAGATGATTCACCGTTAACATTGATAGGGACACTGTCCAGACTGTTGCGAACAAGCACAAAAACACCACCACCGTGTGTGCTGCAGTCTTTTCAAAATGTAGTCCAATTAAATTTCACTCTCTGCTATGGTACTATCCAGCCAAGACTCTGTTCCAAAAACTATACGAGGCTTTGTTCTTTCCAAAAGCAAGGCAAATTCACGGTGAAATTGAGCTCTCCCAAGAACCACGTGCTCGCGTCCTTGGTTTTTTCAGTACTGTACACAAACTTCTGAGGTCAAGTACAAGAGTCCACCGAGCTTCAACGAAAGAATGGCATATATTCATGTAAAATGCGCTCTAGTCTTTCGCGACGTCATCCGGTCATTTTTCCGGGTAAAGTATTGGCATTTATAAGACCAATAGTACAAATCATTCCCTTTTAAGTTGATTGAGTCGAATAGTTTGCAAGCGAGAGTAGAACAGCGACTCAGTGACCACTTGACTTCATCCGAAATTGGCCGCCATTCTTAAAATAACTGATGCCCCCCCATCACCACTAGGGCAATGCATATCGGTAGCGCCCTGCATATCCGCAGGAAGCTCGCAGATGCACATGAATCAGATTTGGCAGATTGCAGATCAGATGGGGATTGGATGCGGATATCCGCCTGTACGGATCTACATTTTTGCCGAGGCGGCCCACAAACTTGCGCGACCACACAGTGTAGGAATGAATTAGTGAGTGATACTATGAAATGCATCCTCAAATGTATTACAGGGGAAAACTGCTCTTCAAGATAAAAAGTGACAATCAGAGAGAAAATTGTTCTTTACGTCAAAAAAGAATAGATTCTCACCCAAGATCGCTTTAGAACGTTCTATCTTGGCAAAAATGCTGTCCCTAAAAAAAGTAGAGAATGCAGGAGCATCAGTTGTCCCGGAAAAGCGTGTTCTTGTTTGGCAGGGAAAGAGCAGAAAACGTTCTTTGAGCAAAGAAAGTTTTATTATATTTTATGGATTAAACATTATATTTTATAGATGGTTATGATAACTAGTTACAACCACTGGCTTTGTAATTGATTTTATTGCTTTATCTGCTACGGTAAATTATAAATGTTGCGTCTCTCAATTTTGATTTTTGTTATTTTTTTTTTCCCGCTCTTTTTCTCTTTATTCCCGCTGTGTTCCGTTGCCCTGCACTGGAGGCGGTCAAGGGCACGTCAAGCTGCATGTGCGGTTGTTACCAGTTCAATTCAATGCGCGGTAGTTACCCTCGATTGCCACCATTGAGTCTGATGGAAGTAGAAATTCTTATACATTCCAGTTGATATCGGTTTCTAGGTGGCACGCCAAAGAAGCGTCGAGTTTACGCTTTGTTTTGTCGCAACTCGGCAAAAAGCGGAAGCTACGACGTGGCCTCAACCGAGTCATTTCGAGCGATAGAGCAAAGCACGACGACGGTACAGCCTCGCACGCCCGGCCGCAACAGGTAGTTCAGCCGAAACGGAGCGCCAGTCGCACCCTGCTCGGCCAAGAAGGGGATTTACGAGCCACCCGAGCCGCAGTAGTGTAAAGATTTTATTGAGTTCCAATTGTTAGGCAGATTGTGGTGTAGAAAACTTTTTGTAGACGGTAACGTTACAAAACCATTCGTAAAAACGGCGACCATCATGAAATGCGACGAGTCGTTAATTACAAATAAAGAAACGTCGGCGCGATTGTAAACTTTATAGTATTTTTACGGAGGGACGTACCCACAAAGACTGGGTCGTAAAATTCCGTCGTGGAGGTGCAGCCACTAAAAGGTCTCTAGAAAACGAGGGCAGTTGGACGGCCGGAGGGCGGGGGTCACTGCTCCAGGTGCTCCAGCAGGAACTCCTCGATGGTGTCCGTGTCCCACTTCTTGATGCTCAGCTCCTCCTGCACCTCCCCCCGGTCGTCCATGAGCTTGATGATGGGGTCGGCCCCCCGCAGGTACTTGATGCTCAGCTTGGGGAACCGCTTGTGCTTGGGGCCCCGCACAAAGGCTGCGACCCAAACCTCGCGTTAGCTGCCAGACGCGGACTCTGTCCGACGCACAAACGCCTGCTTCGATTTGCATGACCGTTCGAGACTAGCGCTCGTTACCTACACTCCGGTCACCCCTAAGCTGAGGCTGCGGCGGAAGCCACGTTGGATCGGTCGGACGTCGACCCTTTGTCACGGCGGGGAGCTGGGTCGGCCGATCAAGGGGTCGACCGGTGAGTGCAGCCCCAGTCTCAAAGTTTGATAATCTACGAATAAAGCCCCCCATCCCCCCTTTTAAGTGGCCGTGCGTTTTGCACTCTGGCATCGAGCTTCACCGCGCCACATCGGCTTTTCGGAGGAGCACCTTGGTTACGTCGGTGGCCTCGCAAAGTTTCTGGGGTGAGCGCCCCATTTGTAATTCGCCCAAGCTCCAATGTTTCCAACCTGGTGGGCGGCTGCTTGTTGCGACACGGCCGCACTGTCGCTCGGCAGTTAGGTAAAAACAAAACGGGGTTGGTGGTTAAGTCGGTTATTACACGCTATACGTAAGGTTCCGCGCTTCATTTCTTTTCCCAGCTTAGGTTTTTTTGTTTCGGGTTTATTTTTGCCCGCAGGTTCTGCGTTTTTCTGTGCCCATTTTCGGTGCCAGACAAAGATGGTTTTTTTCTGCTTTTATCTACCGGTGGCTCTGGTAAAATAAAGTAAAACATACGCGACGTGCACCAAGTTTCGTAAATCAAACTCGATGCAAACTTTTCGCTTCAACCGACGCCACGAAAAACGTAAGAACAGAGCACTTTTTTCTAGGTCTAGTTTCCACTCTCACTGGACAATAATCCCGCCAATATTCTTCCCATTATACTGTGGCTTCAGATTTACCAGTGCGCCACAATGTGAAACACGTGCGGAAGTTTGGGGAATAAAAATCTTCGAATGGTCCAAGATTAGTGAACTGCTTTAATTTTGCCTTCCTTCGCCCGCGTGAGGACAGTACCGCATCTTTGAAGCAAAGATCGTTCTACGTGAAGTGTGCCAGTTACGCGAACCTTAGAAGTGTATTCTTTTCGTGAAATTTCGTAGACTCATTTAATTCTAGGCCAGCTCGCTCTCGGCACCGTTGGACAACGCGGCGAGTTACCCTCGATGCACGGCACAGCGCCGCTCGACCGAAATTTGCAAAATGGGATTTTCCCAATTTAAGGAGCCCAAAGGAGACCCAGGCGCATTTGGGGGCCCTCGCGAGAGCGACGTTGGAGCGGCAGCTTCTGACTTGAGACGCCCACTCACCTTCGATCTGCGGCATGTGTCCGAACTTGCAGGCGCACACCTCCAGCACGGCCCGGGGATACCGCTGCAACCAGAGGGACCGGGCGTGAGCGGCCGTCCACAGGAACGCCACAGTCGTCGGCCATCACGCGGTGTCAAACGTCCGACAGCCCCTACTTTCGCCATCGCAACAAAGGAACTGCATTTGCCTTGCTCCGAGAGTGGCACCGGACGAGTCGTGCCTTCGCCTTGTTTCAATTGATTTCATTTTGATACGGAGAAAACAACGCAGTTCCCTTTGGTAGGACGTAGGAAGAATGCGTGCCAAATATAGAAATCTACGAGGGTCGTTCGAGGGACTCTTGCTCGCGAGAAATTCTTGAACAATTGTAGAACGACGAAACTCGCAAAGATGTTAACGTACCGTATTTACTCGAATGTAACGCGAGTTTTTTTTCAAATTTCCCTTACCTAATTTGGGGGTTCGCGTTATAATCGAAACGCCTCAAAATGTGCCTTGGCGGTGGCGCAGCACAGGCTCTTTAAAATGGCTACGACAAATCTCGCTATCTTTCAATCTTGTGCTGGCAACATATACACGCTGGAAACAGCCAATCCAATCCTATTCTTGTTTGCGATTCGTTGCGCCCATGTTAGGGTTGCGGGTTACCTTCACAACGCTTTCTGTTAGGGTTACCGTACCCATGTGCCCGTGTTGTCCGTGTTTTGTGAGCTGCTGCTACGTGCTTCCGCGACTGGACTCTCGAGCAAATGGCCACGCGACGAGCTCAGTACGACGCCCGCTTTAAAAGAAGTGCAATTATGATGGCTGAGGAAATCGGAAACTCTGCCGCGGCTCGACGGGTAGATGTGACAGAATCAACTATCCGTGGGTGGAGGCTCCAGTGTGAAGTGCTCTTCAAGTGTGAACCCGGCCGAAAAGGCTTCCGCGGACCACGTTGTAGTACTTTTTAAGGTACTTTTTTCCCCTCACTTAAAGGGTAACTGCAAAGAAAAAAAAAGTTTTTTTTTAAACAGCCTAATTGGGACAAGCATGTCACAAAACAAATGTTCCGCGAAAAAAATGATTTTTTTTTATCAATATTTACGCCACAGGACGTAATTTAGTAGAGTCAGAACCTCTCCACATTTGAAACTCCTGCTCTTTCGACCCCCGCGGAAGAGGAGTACGCCCCGCCCCTCACTTTCCTTGCGTTGCGGAGTTGAACGACGCAGCGTCTCGACTTCCGGCAAGATCTGGCAACTACGCCAGGCCGCGGTATTGTTTTGATTTGACGCGGTTTGCGGGCACATGTAGCGAAGACGTGACCGGAGAAGTGCCCCTGTGATGTTCCCGGAAGACGGAAAGTATCGTTCGTAATCGTCGTTCGCGCTTTGAAAGCGAAGGGAGTCACAGAATCCACGAGTGCGCAACCACAAGCCAAGGTTCACGACAGCGCTGCGTTGGTTTCGGCGATCCCGTTCCGTTTGGTGCAACACGGCGATGCGACAGAGCTGAAACGTTCGTGGTGTGTGTAATGCGGTGCTAACACGGAGCGCAAATTGGTTGTTGTGGGGTTGACGTTCAACCAGTTAAGTCCCGTCGTCGTCAGCTGATCCAGTCAAACTGGTCCGGGAGGACGCTGGGTGCGTTTTTAAAAGTAAATCTGCCTCGTTCTGTTTCAAAATGTGGAAGTTTCCCGACGCATACCGTGAGTAAAAAGCTGCGGGCGTTTTCAACAAAATTACGTCGTTTTAATTGAACAATGGACTCCGAATTGTTGTCCTAAATCTGCCGTTTTTATGCTTCGTGTTGGACTGCGTTTGCACAGCGACGTGTTGCATCGTGCGGTGTGAATAAATTTGGGCACGATTTCGTACCTGCCTACAGATGCATGAACTGAGACCATTTTTACGTAGTGGACATAGTGCTTTTTTATTTTCTGTCTAGTCGCGGACGTTAGGTGCACACGGGGCGAATCTCGACGGCCTCCAGAGCGATATGACGAGAACGTAACTGGACACGTTGGTCGCTACGCGAACGCCCAATTGCCTCCAGCCAAATAGCATTCCTTTCGGGGCGACATGGCGGCTGGGAGGCTCACTGTCGGGATCACGCATCTGACATCTCCGAAAAGTCAGCATTTGCACGCGCAAACAAGCAAAACAAAAAAAAAAAAAAAAAAAAAAGCACGCTAAGCAAGCAAAGAGGAAAACGAAAGAACCGCGCTATGAAAGCCAAAACCCCGCGTCGCTTCCTATCACTAAAACTTGCGACAGCTGCTAAACACACACTACTTCACTTCAAGAAGTTTCACTCAAGCACCTGGGTCAGCATGAAACGACGAAACACTGATCACTTCGGCGAAACGATTAGTCGAGGTAGGCGAGACAGGCGGGAACAGGGACTTCGGCGGCCATGAAAGAATGGCGAAGCTTTTGTTTGTATGAATCCTAACGGAAGTGCCCGTCTTGTAAACCTTTTGTAAAGAATAATAACTCTCATCACATGGGTTATTCTTCAAACGTAAAAATATGCCACTCAAAAGGAAATTGCAACATATAACAAAGGCTTAACAACCAAGATCTAAGCCGTCAATCAAACTCTTAGCCAATGAGAACCTTTTGGAATTGATGTCACATAATCACAACTTCGTAACGCGCGATTTAAAATGGACGAAATAGCCGCAAACTAAAAGGAGTCTCACCCAATAAATATTGCTGTAAAAAATGTTTTTTCTCGCGGAAAAATTGTTTTTTGACATGCTTGTCCCAATTAGGCTATTTAAAAAAAACTTTTTTTTCTTTGCAGTTACCCTTTAACTCGTGTTACATTCGTGTTCTCTTTTTTTTTTTTTTTGCGCTTTGAAAAGTTACTTCTTGCGTTACAATCGCGGTCGCGTTACATTCGAGTAAATACGGTAATCCTCGAACGTCCGGCACCTGGATCGAGGTATTCGACGCGCACGGGGCAGTTCCGGTTATCGTAACAGCGAGCGAGGTGACCGCAGCTGTAGAGCGACGGTACATAATCGAATTCCCAGAAAACGTAAATGTACCGAAATTTCGAGGAGATTGCGAGCGGGGAACCAACGACGTTACGAACGGTTCCACCGAGGACGATGGCCGGCGACGAGCCAACCGCACCAATTCTGTTGGTTTGATGACTATCAAGCAGTTCGGCTCTTTCTACGCCCGAGCGATCGGGCAGCTGCCAGAACGACCGCGGCGGTGTCCGGACCACCCGGAGAAATACTTAGAAAAACTGACATGGTTTCATGCTTGCGGATTTTTTATTTTTTCCCTAAGAATGCAAGTCCCGATCGACTTCAAACAACCCTCGTAACTCCCCCTAGAAGTTAACGAAACAATTAATCTCAAAATGTGCCCAGTCGGCAAAATCTGTCGATTCCAGGGGCGAGGCGGGGCACAATCGACGGCACAGTCGACGTATTGCTGACGCTGCACTCGCCGTACCACAATTTGTCCTTTCCCAATCCCCGGCAGAGTTGGTCAGAGAGTCTGGGATTCCTTTGCCCGTCCGCTTTTCCCCGTCTCGGGGCACGTGGCCCCTAGACGATGGTTTTCCCTTCCCAACGCGAGTTCCCGGTCGACCGGCCCCAACCCACCTTGGGGGCGTCCCGGTCCTGGGTGTGGGCGCAGCAGCGGTGGCAGCCGTCCCGGAGCAGGTCCAGGTCAAAGGCCGCCAGGCCCCGGCAGGAGGCACACGCCAGGTCGGGCTTCCGGAAGCCCAGGGCCAGGCACTCGTCTGCCGAGAGGTCCCCCAGGGCCTGCGCAACACGCACCGTAGGCCCAAAGAGACCCTCCCATCTCCTCCGCCTTTTCCGCCGCTCCTCGCTTTCGGAGGGAGCGACGGTGGGCCGGCGACCCCCGCTTCGAACCATGCAAAAGCGAATACACGAGCGACGATGGATGGACCGACGAACGCGTGGATTTTAGACTCGACTTTTCGAGTCGCACGGTTTTTGGACGTCATTTCGTAAGTCGTTCGAAAAAGCGACATGAAGACCTCTGCCGGAAAGTCGGAGGTCTCCTCGCGTTCGCCAACGTCTGCCGTGGCGACGGTTCCGCCGGTTGAGCTCTCCGCTGTTCCTTGCGGCGGCTCGTGTCGAGGCTTTCCCGTCGGGCCGGTTGTCGACGCTTGACTCGCTACACAGTCGGATACTTTAGAACCGCATCCCGGTTAAAGAAACTGTCCGCTGAATGGCCAGGAAAACGTGACTCTCACACAAGGCTCCTTAAAACACTAGCAGGCACACTTGGCATCGAAAGAGCGCGTCTGATCTCGCCCGTCTGCCTCCGCACGATAAAGTTTGTTCGCTACGGTCGCCGTGACAACGAGCCGAGCCCTGCATGAACACGCGTGTGAAAGTCGAGCCTGCAGCCAGCAACGTCCGACGCCTTTCCCAATATCGTCCGTTTGAGTCAAATGAAAAGCGTAGACTTCCAGACGGGCCACACTGCGCACGATCGCTCCCCGCTTTGCTCCGCTCAGGGAGGACAGAGTAGGCTCGGGATTGCACTGAGCCTCATCGGAAGCCAATCGTTTGGCTAGAATGTGGCTGCACAACCAAAAACTGGTGCGGGCAAGACCAAATTTCATTTATTGAAACTGCGGAACACTACCTAACAATAAATGATATAGTTTTATGTCAATGACAGTCCTACAATAGCTAGAATCATTGGGGCTCGTCTTTGTTTTCTTAAGGGGGTATATAGGCCTATAATTTTTCGAAATTAATTTTTCAATTTTGAGGCTTTTGGTTTTAGAAACTAATTATATACCCTTGCACTAAATTTCATAACCATGCGCCAAATACCGTAGTTATGTTGATATAAAATATTTTCAACACATTGTGAGGCACTAACAAAGTAAAGGAGTTCTTTGTTTGATTGAATTTTTCTCAGTTCCGCTTTTTGCTACAAATTTCATACGAAGGAATCTTTTGTTCAAAGGTAAAATTATTCTGATACCACACTCAAGATGTTTCTCAACTAAAATTTACTGGGAATCGGGCTATCTACTTTATTTTGTTTTAAATTAAAGTCATCATTGAGAGAAAACCATGTTTTCAAAAATTGGCATAGGACAGATATGTATCTTATACTTTGAGGTAATCACTCTTCCTGAAATATTTACATTTGAGTTATAAAAACTAGATAGCCCAAAGTCAAACATCCCCCACTTTATATTCAAGCAGTTAAAATGATGCTTAATAGCTTCATTTGCATGTCATAGATTTCATAATGAAGAGTGACACATCTTCTTATGCAGATGTAAAGTTGTCCTAGAGAGCTGAAAGTTTGTGCAATACACCTACATCTCAAGTTAAATCTCCCCTGCAAATTTCATTCCGGTCACATGAGCAGTTCAGAAGTTCAACCTCTAGCCAGTGTCCCCCTTGAAGGGGGACACTACCCAAAAAAGGAAATTTTTGAACCACTTGTCCGATTTAAATTATATTTACAGGGCTTGTTTCTGTTGACGTTGAGAACATTTCTGCCAATGTTTGTTAATCTGGTTGAAGTAGAAAAAAAAATTGCAAACGTTCAAAGACGAAAGTGGGCGTGTCTGCTTAGGAAAACTATCGTTTTGAAATTACTTATAAATTTGTTGTTTTCATGTGTTACATTGCATTAGGACAGTTCAGGGCAGATAACTATGGAGCTATATTTCTATGTTATACCATCTTTCATGAGAAAAAAGCCACATAAACACAAATACAGTTTTTTAGATTTCCATCCTTTGTCCAAACTTTTAGTTCTTGAGCATGAAAATTGATAAAAATAAAAAAATACAAGCTCATAGTTATCTTCCCCTTAAAATTTCACCCCAGAAACACTCATAAGAATTAATCCAAGTTGAGTAATACCAAAACAATAGTTTTCCTGAAGCGATATTTATGCCAAAAAGTGGAATGGAGTAAAATACATTCAAAGTGCTCCAACCTCTACCTTTTCTTTAGCATCGGTGGACCGAAAATAATTTATAAAAAATTAACTATGCAGTTTAAAGTAATGAAACTTTCCGGGAATACTCTAGATGTTGGTGGATGTAAATATGATATTTTTCAAAATCAACTTTTTTTTGCAGAAATTGTTTTTCCTGGGTAGTGTCTCCCCTTAACGCGTCGGATAATGTCCTACCTACCGAAGAATACTACGAGACTTGGCTGGCTTTCGTGAAAAAATGTAAGAGAAGGGGGAATATTATTCTGGCCAATCGCTCGGCACATGGGCGTTTTCATTCTGTGGGGTACAGTGAGTGGCATTCCCACCCGCCATAATAGGCTCTCCATGTTGGGAAGATGCACGTTGTGAAACAGTCGGATGGGTCTAAATATGCGGAGAGCGAGTGGACTGCTCCCTGCGCAGGAGTTGCAGTGACCTCAGAACAACGCCAAGCTCCAATTGGCTTTGACTGATAGTGGGTCAAGGTCTACCCACTATTTATTTTTTTTTCAATGAGCCAATAAGAGCTTAGGGTGCCGACATCATTTGACATGATTGCGTGCAAGAAGCAGACAAACTTGCACTTTGCATTGCATCAATTTAGGAACTTTGCAAATGTCTGTATCGTCCCGGATGGAAACTTGCGATGCTCCCTTTGCCACAACAAAACCACATTCCCAGATGTTCACGCGCGTGAGCGACGGAAACTCACCGAGGCGATTTTGTCAGGTAGGGAGGCCCCAAACTACCGGAAATACTCATTCCTAATCCAATTAGTTTCGGCTTTTTCGCGGCACTGGGTCGACTGCATTTTGGGCCAGTTAAAGTTTAGGTGGGAGCGTGGGCAGCAGGAAACCCGCTTGCGGGCCACATGCAGCACGCGTGTTGCGCAGCCCCGGTCTAGAACAAAAGTGGGGGCCTAAGAACGCCGAGCTGCCGATAGCTTGGATACTGCTCTAAAGGGAGGAGACGTGCCAGACGGCGTATTTTAGGGGCTGCGGACCTCAAAAGTTTGTGTAGTCTAGAACAGCACATTGGCGGCCCAGCTTACTACGGGCCAGTAGCATCGTACCACACCGTCAACAAATCTGCGCCACCGCCAACATAACGGCGTCACAGGCTTTGGCTCGCGTTGCCCCACATTTAGCTACGGTAGTTCGAAGAATACATTGGCTGGTGCTGGCTGCAGCAGCTGCATGAGCGTCCATTCAGCAGACACTCTGTTGCCACCCAACTCTCCCCATACACGGCTCTTGCACGACGGCTGACAAGGCAGCACCTTACGCCGGTCATTGCGGCTGACGCTCCCCGCAAACTTTTGCGGCCGACTGTAGTTTGCTGCTGCAACCCCCATAGCGGCACCAGGATGATCGCACCGCCAAATGTGGCGAATCCCAGAGAAAAGCTCACCGGAGAAAAGCTCACCGGAGATAAGCTCACCTCAAAACCGGCAAATGCAAAAAAAAGCTCACCGATTTTTTTTTTTTTTTTCTTTTTTATGGAGGTTGTTGGATCATGCGTAACATATATCAATTTATTACCACTTAAGTTCGTGAGGTTTGTCAAAAAGAAAATGTCCTTTTTTGTATTATTTGCCAAGCTTATTAAGTATATTGCTCCCAAATTAATAATGGCGGGCCAGCGTTTTCTTCGGCTTACTCTCAAGGCAACTAAAGCCTAACTGAAAATTTTATGAACTTGAATGACATGAAAGAGTTCGAAAACTTAAGTCTCCCTGAAACCTAAAAATCAAAACTGTAAACACCGAAAATCCAAAAGTGCATGCGCAACAACGCGGTGCCTGAAATTTTCTTTGAGGCTTTTATTAACCTTTGAAAACAGGATAAAACAGTTAGTAGGATATCGAGGCTTCTTTCTTCCACGGACATGCACGTTTTCTAGCCGTTCGTGCTGGTGCTTCCGCACGTTGCCTTTGTGTGATAGTGCCCTTCTAAGGTGAGTCACTCATGACTTTCAGAGCTGCACACTGGTACCTTCGTTACTCGTGACCTATATTAGAAATAGTCTTCTGTAAGGTAGCGAATAGGGCGAGTTGGTAAACGTTATACATGATGAAAACCGCTCAAACGACGACGACGGAGTGAAGACAACAAACACGACAGGACGAAGCTGTTCTCGCAACTAAAGTTTTCTTAGTGAAATTAACAGAAACCAACCAACGTAGCCGACACTGACTGCATCAACAAATACCTACTTAACTATTAGGCACTACAGAATGTTTGGGGCTGAAACGGTTCACCACACCGCTATTCATATTAGCTCACAAAGAACAAACCTCTTTATTTGACAGAGCTACCGACGGTGCACCCTCAGTTGTCAATAAATTGTTGTCTGTTTTACCGGTGTAGGATGTTCTGATATCATCTTTGCGGCTTCATTAATATACAAAATGGGTGATTACTAATTTCTGAGGAATTAGCAAATATGCCAAATGACCTTCAAGAATATTACAAGAAAGAGGACATTGTTAAAAAAAAAAAAATCGGTGAGCTTTTCTCTGCATCAGCCGGTTTTGCGGTGAGCTTATCTCCGGTGAGCTTTTCTCCGGTGAGCTTTTCTCCGCCGCCCAAATGTGGCACCACGTGTACATTTGCATCAGTGCTCCCAGTGGTGCTGCCGCTTTTCTTTTATACGGAAGTAGAAAGCAGTCGGAGGCATGCGGTTTAGAGAAGCAAGCAGTCATTCCCCCCATTTCGCCTTTCTGTTAAAAAGGGACTTGGCGCGCGTAATCATGAACCGATTACGTCGACTAGGCAGCGGCTGACTACGTCGCCAACGCAAAACCACTAGTTTTTCGTTATGCCTAGCACATTTTGAAACCGGCAAACAGCGTAAAATGCAAATTGTTGTAAGGACCGCTGTCACTGAAAATATGTACTTACAAATAAAGGAGCGATCAGAAGCTGCAAATAAAGGTAGTACGCGGCCATGTTTAATTTTTAAAATAGATGGATGAATGGATGAACCGTGAATGCATAGTGAATGGATGTTAAACTCGACTCTACACTCCAGAGCCGCTACACTCTACCGACTCTACCAACTTTGGGCTCTACCCGCTTCCCGCTTTCGCTTCCCCACTCCGCAAACGCGGCCACCACCGGCGTTGGCTCTAGCGTACGGAGTAAAAACCGCGGATTACGGCCGGTCACGTCGATGGTCGTCATGGTGCCTTGAGTGCGTCTCCCACGGGCGTGTTTACCATACCACGTCCAAAAAAGTGGTCCCTTGATTTCCGCCTGATGACATCATAAAAGTGTCACGTTATCGCCTGTCGCGATCCTCGTGGCGTTTCTATAGCTGTGGCGTTAGTTGCAGACGCCTGTCATTGCGGCAGTTCGCTCTCCAGCGTGACCGTGACAGTCCACGGAAGCACCAGCAGCCGGAAATTGGGACGCCATGACGACAGCGACTTTGGCGTTCACTTGCATTCACTTGTGCTACTCCCAGCTTTTTGCAAAATAACGTTGGCTTTTTGTTGGCATTTCTATGACCAACCGCCAGGATCGCGACATACAACAGCACCACACTTTGGCTTTTGTGACGTCATTTGTTGCCACTTCGGGAAGCACACCCCAGTCGAAGACGCGGCCACCATACCCAAATGACCAGATCGAATCTGAGTTACTCCGGCGGGTTGTGTCACGTGACCACACAGAAGCGCTGGACGCTGGCAGTTTTAAACACCAAGGTACAAAATATTTACCCTGGAGTAAGATCGACGGCCATAGACGTCAAATTAATTTTTTTCACGTATTGTGGCAATGGACGTCGAAATAGTCACTGACAATCCCTAAATGAATACCTGTAATGAGCGAATCGGCTGGAGCTGGAATCCTGAAACCGTGCTAAAAAAGGGCTAAAGTTTGATATCCGTACAATGTCGCAGATGAGTCGGACGCAAACGTTGGATAGCCGGAAGGTTGGATCACTCTGATCAGCCCCGTGGACCAACCCCCACAGTTTGGACCAGATCGGTGGATGAGACTCTGTCGAAAGGCTCGTAAGATGCCCGCCTGTGGGGCTACCTCCTAAACACGAGCGGTGTCTTTTCCCCACTGGCAGTCCGAGCGGAGCAGGTTGGCACGTCTTGACCCAGCGCGTTCGAGCGTCGGCAGCGCGTGCTTGGCGGACAAGTATGCACAGCCGCGCTCGTCGTCGGGTGAGTCCTTCCGCCGCCTCGGCTATGCCCTCAGCCACCGCAGCGATTCTCTCAGCCGCCTCAGCTATGCCCTCCTTAGCTGTGCCCTCCTCAGCTGTGCCCTCAGCCGCCTCGGCTATGCCCTCGGACGGCTCGAGCGCGCGCCGCGCGCGGGACGCCCTTTCGGGGCTGCGTTCGCGCACGCTGCTCTTCCGCTACCTGCCGCAGCCCGCGCGAGGACCGGGGTCAGCTGGGAGGCTCCGTTTCGTCCTTTCTGCGTGTTTAAGCTGATCCAATGATTGGCAACTACTAAAGCCCTGCCGTTCGCTTCTCTGGGGCTGTGGAGCAGCGTGATCACCTGCGCTCCGAGCGCGCGTCAGTGCTTGGGGAAGCTGGCTGGTTCCTCTGTCAGGGTGCCTGGCACGCTCCGGCTGGGGACACATGCTGGCCACCTTGGATGTCACCATCGTCTCTGGGCAAGGCCTCACCTACTGGTGGAGCAAAAAATGGCCTTAATAGGACCTCTTTCTAAAGTGACGTCTTAGTAAAGGGAAGGGCTCATCGTCATGTTTGAATGCCGAGATATTTGTCGGGCTCGATCGTGTGTGCAGCATAGCCGCGTGATGCTACACTGCACACGACTGCACAGCTAGCAATGGCCGGTTTGCATGCGTGTTTGTTTCGCCTCTGAAGGTCCATCACGAAAACTGGTGTCGCTGTCGAAAGCGCTCGTACAGACCTTCAACTCGGGCGCTACTATTTGTCGTTGGAACGTTTGTGAGGGGGGGGGGGGGCACGACGTTTACGTAGAAAGGATGTTGCCTTTTGGGAAACGTGGAGGTGCCATTGCGACGTGGGAGCTTTATTCATTTGTGTTCTTCAATATACATCTAGCTGCAAGTTCGGTGCTGGACCCGTCAACTTCTTTTCGCTCGTCCTGGTCGTTTTGTGCACAGCTCATTTTAACTTGGAGTTCGAGCGCTTTGTCTGGCGGGACGGAGAGAGTCTGAGCTGCTTCCCTGCAGGCGGCGGAGCGGAGCGTCCCCCGGGGGCCGGCGGGGTGCCCGGCATGAGCGCCGCCTTGCTCTGGCTGGTGCTGCTGGGCGCCCTGCTTCCCCGCCCGGCCGGGACCAAGCCCTCGGACACCTGCAACCGGCACCGCCAGGTCCTGACGGCGCCCTGGGGCATCATCACCGACGGCAACGACAGCTACCGCAACGACTCCCACTGCGAGTGGCTCGTCCGAGGTGGGCCCCCAGGCGACTCGCTGTCGCGCGTGCCGTAACTCGAGCGCTCGACGACGCGTCAGTCGCCGCTTTGGCCGCGCTCTACCGCCGCGGACAGAGTGAAAGTCTTAGAGGGAGATCTCCCTTCCTCGTTGTCCTCTGCCTGTCCCCACTTTTCCGCCCTCCTCACCCTAAAGGAAGTCGTGCCCCTAGGAAAGGTATCGGGGAAATCACAGAGCAGTTTCTCCTCGGCAAAAGACGGATCTTACTACGATACGGCGCTTCGAGGTCGTACGGCTTAAACGGGTTGCATAGGGTCCGCTTTGCTCGTTAAATTTTCGGCGTAGATTTGCCGCAGTAACGCTGCATTTGCACTTACTTCAATAACCAACGATGCCCCCGGAAGTGAGCTTCTTCCTGCGCACATTTTTGTGCCACGAAGATCTGGTAGATTTTACGCGAGATACATGACACGCGGCTGGCACGAGTAAGGCCTCGTCTCGAACGAAGAACTTTGAGGCGACCCCGTTTCAAACTTCTTTGTTAAAAGTTTGCTCGTGTTATATTGCGAGTAAACAAACGGGAGGGGGAAGACTAGTTCGTTAAATTGTCACGGTTGGAAATGGTAGACAAATGTAACGCCGAAAAATAAATGTTTGTCGATCGGCAAACTCGCGTCCGAAACTAAAATAAAAAGGACCATACATCGCGCTTGGCGACAAAAGGGTGACCGACTGGAAAAAATATGAACTCGAACTTTGCGGAAGGAACTCGATCGGCAAAATAAAAAGCTGGGTGGTGGGGTTTGAACCCCGTATTTCCACACGGTAGCCACGCGTGCCGCTAACTACGTCGCGTGCGCAGAATTCTACGGTGTTTGGCTCTTTCGGGGTTAATTACGAAGGGGTTTGACCGTACCTATACGGGATTGAGTCCATTTGTAGCGAGTAACCGAGAGTGCGCAGTAACTGCACAGCATGCACCAGCAAACGACACCGTCGGCGGGTTTCCTAACTCTTGGGGGCACACTCCTCGCCCAACGATCTGGGGCCCTTTGGCCGTCGGTCGGATTTGCTGGAGGTGGCCGTCGGTTTGCACTAGGAGCCCGGAACGCATCTCCGACCGGCGCGTTGGGCATCCTCCTCCGCCCACGCGTCCAAAGTGCCCAAGTGGCAACAAATTACGTCGTGGATGTTGACGTTGGTGCCGTTGGACGTCCCAAGGGGCCGGTCAGGGAAAAACAAAGAAGGAATGCAAGCGTCGCCTTTGTCGTCCCAACTCGTCGTTGCGGAAGCATTTTTGGGCCCTCGTGCCGACACTGAGCAAGAGCAGAACGGGTGTCCGTCGTATTTATTTATTTATCTATCGATTTCTTGGGGTGCCCCACGGTGCCCGGGAGGGCGTTACGGTGCACGAGGGACAAAAAAGAAAGCAGATGCCACCAAGATACATCGAGGAAAAAAAAATATGCGCAGCCTGCAGTAAAGTCTCGATCGGCCGAAACCAACGAGAAGGGGAACACCGACGCACCATTATATAGGGTGGTTCAAGTCACCAGGCTCGATCTAAAATGGACCGTAAAAATCAACGCCTGCACGTAGCAACCTAAACTTTTCGTCAAAGGTGGAATTCACAGGTCAGTTTTTTCTTGTAAAATTACAAATCGTAGTTCTCTTTCTGTAAAAAATAGGGCCAAGAAACTTGCCAGGGTCTACGGCGGGCGGCGACCCTGACGACAGGGTCCAGTAGCGGGGTGTGTTTGGTGTTCGTATTGATAGATGGCGTCGGGAGCAGCGTCCGAAGGTGCAGCCGTTATGCAGACGCATTTTTTTTACTTTAAGTTTTGCTTTTATTGTGCGCATTTATTTTTTAACCGAAGGTACATTTCAAAAAGATCGTATTAATTTTAATAAACCACGGTGGTCGCGAGCCGTTGCGATAAGGATCTATCAATGTGAACGCCAAACACACCCCGCTACTGGACCCCTGTCGTCTGCGTTGCTGCCCGCCGTAGACCCTGGCAATTTTCTTGGCCTTATTTTTTTGCAGAAAGAGAGCTACCCTTTGCAATTTTACCAGAAAAAACCGACATGTGAAACACTAACTTTGACTAAAAGTTTAGATTGTTACGTGCAGGCGTCGATATGGTCCATTTTAGATCGAGCCTGGTGACTTGAACCACCGTAAACATTTTCCAAACTAATACAAAAGACAGAGCGTACGTTGGACGTTAAAGGCTAAGTAAAGTATAGAAAAAACGTGAGCCGTAATTTTCTTCGACTAGCTCCTCTGGCAATTTGTTTGGACGTTGGACGGTGCTTGGAAAGAAGGACGAGGGTGTGGGGACGTAGCCGAGCCAGAGGAGAAACGGCTCCATCCACGTGCTACGTCACTTCCTGCGTGGACGGAGCCAGTTCTCCTCCCGCCTTCTCCCCGTCCACGCAGGAATCAACTGCCGGCCTCCCATTGTTTTGCCACATGCTCGGCAGCCATTTCCTCTGTGCGTTCTTGCCCCGCTTGGACTGCTGTTCCTGCCTTGTTTTCCGCAAGCGAGTTTGACTTTCTACGAAGCATTTCTTTTTTACATTTTCTCGAACATTCCGTCCAAACGCCTATTAAGTGCCCGCAGCTCTCCTTTCATAACCTTCCAGCCGTCAGCTTCCAGAAGCATGTACAGATCGCTGGTCAAGCACTTCGGGTCACTGAGCGTTTAGTGAGGGTGCCTCGTACTCGGGATTTGTTGGTGGCATAATATCGCTCGGATCTCCCCCAGGAAATTTCTGGTACCGGATCGCTGATAACGCCGATCGTCGGAATCGCCATTTCATTTATTTGCATCCCAGGTTTCTGAACCTCCACCGTCACTGAAGTCGGAGAGCACTCGACCTTCCTCTTTCTTTTGCCAGTGCATCCAGTTGTGGTGTTGACCTTCGAAACCTGGATCCCACGTGGATCTTGCGTGCCTGCTCCCCGCACTTTTAGCATCTAACTTCTTGGACACTTTTTCGCTCGTTGAAGCGTCAAATCTGTCCAATCCTGCACTCCATTTCGGTTTCCACTCGTCCCTTCCGAATATCGCCGGTATTGCGTCGTGCTGCAGTGCGGAGCAAAGGTTAGAAGCACGAGCTCCTTCGAAGGGCGCACCTGAGCTGCACAAACTCTGGCGCAGCAGCCATACTTTGTTTCAGCTGTTTCAGCTTATCTGTGAGCGAAGGAAAAGCTACAAGCGCGAGTGGGTAGTCTGCAGAAATCTAGATGTCACGAGCGTGTGGAGCAGTGGGCGTGCTCTCGCCCCCTCTGATGCACAACAGCTCGCACCAGACGCACGACCAAGCCTCACCGCCTCGGCAGTGATGCACGCGCGGGTGAAGGCCCCGAGTCTGTACCGAGCCATCCAAACCCGCACCACGGGGCTGCACGCCTGCACACCCACACGTGACTCCTGGACAACATAACTATCTAGACGTCTATTGATGCTATTGGTATGGCGCATGATGTTTGCTATTAGTGTTAGAAAACAGGGAAAAATTGGTAAATTGTATACGTGGCTTGCACATGACGTCACTTCCGATGCCCTCCAGAGAAGAGGGGAAGGAGCTCCCCTCTTAGCAGGAACCTCTTTTGTGGCTCCCGGATTTGCACAGGCGTCGCTGTTCTCCTCCCAGAAGATTAACCTGTCACACAAAATTCTTGCAAAGGCAGCTTCCGTCTCCTCCTTTTACTTGGTGTTCAAAAGCATGCAATGTGACGTCAGTGCAAGGAGCCTGTACAAATTTGTAAGGTCACGTGACATATCAACTTTAAAAGAAGTTTGACCTCTTTATTTTGTATCCTTTATTTATTGATAAGAAAGCATAATATGTACATAAAAACAGAATATGTCCTTATAAGTCACGTGTGCTTTTGCATGGATGGAGCCTTATCTCCTCCCGACTTGTCTACGTCCCCGCATGAATGTAGCCTCGGCCAAGTATGATTAAATACGTTTCTGATGAGAGAGATCTAATTTTCTTCGAGTGTTCTCGTCTACGAGAAATGAAATGTGGCTGCAGTAAATGTTTCTTTATCGATGCCTGACTGTTCATAATTAATTGAATAGAGAAGATTTAAATGGCAGCATAGATGGCTAGTTTGCAGAGCCGCACTTGAGCTCATCTTTCGAGGCAGTCGCAATTTGACACCGACTGGAGTCCAATCTTCTTGTAACGATACCACATATCACGATGTACTGCTTATAACGATCGGTTTCTAGAGTTTCCAGACTAGAAACTGATCGTTCCAGACTAGATATAACGATAATCGGTTAAGACGATGGAATTTTTGGGTTTTCTAACGATCGTTACAAGTGGATTGTGCTCAGGGGCGGATGCAGAAATTTCCTGAGGGGGCGGTCAGGTGTTGGTCAGCGTACCATTTGTTTAGGAACCCTCTCCCCCTCTCCCTCATTTCACGCCCTAAATTTTACACACACAGAATTCAAGAGGAAGGCCAGGACATCCGGACCCGCCCTCTAAATCCACCCCTGATTGCACTCTTAAGAATACCAGTGGGGATCCCAGAGCTTTGAAGCATACCCAAGAATCGGCCTAATTTTGGTCATATAGAGGATACTTTTTACTTTGCATCGTCACTCTAAAATTACATTGCATGAATTCTAACATACGATTTGCCTTTGCTCTCACATAACCTATACGGTGGTTTCAGGAGAGATTGTGCACCCAAATATTTTACGTGCACTGACGCGTCTATCGCTGCGTTATTGATGTAGTACATGGCAATGACCGCGTGGCAACCTGCCTCCCCTGAAGTTTCACCGCCAAGATGGTGGTGGACGCCTCGAGGAGGCGGGAAACGCGATGTGGCCGGCGCACGTGGCTTGTGCAACGCCCGCTGAGCCCGGTCCCCGCTCGCAGCCGACGCGTCCCGGCCGTTCATCACGCTGCGCTTCCACGAGATGGAGACGGAGTGCGCCTACGACCACGTGTTTGTCTACGACGGCGACTCGTACGAGGCGCCGCTGCTGGGGACGTTCAGCGGCCGGACCCTGCCGGCCCCGGTGACGGCCAGCTCGGGAGCGGTGAGTGGGCCCCGGGGCTTCGGGGCCCGCCCTGAGCCGGCTCCCCGCAGATGCTGGTGCTGCTGTACAGCGACACCAACTACGTGCTGAAGGGCTTCGTGGCTGAGTACTCGGCCTCTCCCTGCCCGGCCAACTGCAGCGGCCACGGCAGCTGCCTGCGGGGGGCCTGCGTGTGCGACCGGGCCTGGGCGGGGGCGGCCTGCGCCTCCCCGCTCTGCCCGGACGGCTGCCAGGCGGACCGGGGCCGGGGCAACTGCTCGGGGCCCTGTGGGGCCCGGGCCCGGTGCTGCCGCTGCGCCCCAGGCTTTGCGGGCCTCTCGTGCGGCCTGCCCGAGAACCCGGACGACGGGGCGGCGGGCTGGCACCTGCTGTCGCGGGGCCCGCCCTTCGGGGCCCGGGCGGGCCACGCGGGCGTCTACCTGCCCTTCACGGACCAGCTGTTTGCCTTTGGGGGCCGGGCCTTCGGCCGGGTGCTGGGCGACTTTCGGGTCTTCAACCTCAACGACAGCAGCTGGCACGACCTGTCGGACGCGTCCCCGCGGCCTGCACCCCGCTGGGGCCACGCCATGGCCCCCTACGCGCACACGGTGGCGCTGCACGGCGGGGAGCTGGCGGACGGCTCCCTGTCGGCCGAGCTGTGGCTGTATGACGTGGCCCGGCGCCGCTGGACCCTGGAGCCGCCCGCGGGGGCCCCGGCCCTGGCCCTGCACTCCCTCACGCCGGGGGACGGCAACCGGCTGTACGCCTTCGGGGGCCGGCGCGAGGGCGGGGCTTTCTCGGGCGACCTGTGGCGCGTGAACCCTCGGGAGGGCTCGCGCTGGGAGCGCCTGTCCCGGGCCGGGGCACCCCCGTCGGTGGGGCACGCGGCGGCCTTCCACGCCGAGTCCCGCACACTGCTGGTGCACGGTGGCGTGGTGGTGGACTACGCCCGCTTCAGCAAGCTGGGCGGGGCCCTGTGGGGCTTCCAGGTGGACGCGGGCACCTGGACCCGCTTCCGCTGGGCGCCCCAGGGCGGGGGCCGGCCCCCGACAGAGCGGGCCTTCCACGGGGCGGCCCTAGTGGGCGGTTACCTGCTGCTCTTTGGCGGCCACATGCACCGCCACTCGCTCGAGGAGAAGTGCTTCGACGACGGCCTCTACCTCTTCCACCTGCGCTGCCGCAAGTGGGTGCCCTTCCACCTGGTCGCCGGAGACCTCCCCGGTGAGCCGCCCTGTCCTTGTCCGGAGAGAGAGCGACGCCTGGGCAGTCTGGCGGGGCTCGTAATTCCAGAAACTGGGATCAAGTCTAAGGGGGCGTCTTTTACCCGCGAGTTGTCGGGGAATTCGACGCCCGCGAGACCGGACCCTTCCCCCGGTGCAGGGGAGGCCTGGAGCGGGCGCTGCCCCGGGGTGTACTCGCACGTGATGGCGCTGCGGCGGGGCCACACGCTGCTGGTGCTGGGCGGCTACCGGGGTCGCATGACCTCGGACCTGTGGGCCTTCCTGCTGCCCACCACCGTCACCCACGCCTACTCCCACTCGGCCTCGGGGGCCTGCATCCGGTGGGCACCCATCGCCCGGGGAATCGGGCCGTCCCCCCGGCGATCCACTTTTGAACGCCAATGGTAGAACGTCTGCGCGGAACCAAGACCCGGGATCGAGCCGTAGTCATTTGTATCGCTTTGTGCGTTAGTCCACACGCTTGGCAGGGGCGTCGAAAGCCTGGAGGTCGCTCTCGTGGTTTCCACTACCCTCGCACTTATGGCGAGACAAAGCGTGGTTGGTTCGCTACTGCGAGGGTATTAAAGGGAAAGAAGACGCTAACGGAGAACAATGTGGTGTCCCTTTTATTTTCGTGACCACCTCTAAACGCGTGGGCCCGACGTACAAAATAGTAATAAATAAAAGTTCTTAATTAATCGCTCGTATTTTGTTATCGCGGTAAACGAAAGCGCGTGCAATCCAGTTGAATGCATGTTTCAGCAATTCCTTCTAACCTGTATAGACCTTTTCACCCTCCGCCGCATGGGCGCTGCCATCTTGGAATCACGTGATGCGGCCGCCATTAGGTTGCTTCAACTTGTTGCTCCGCTCTCCCGTCCGCGCCTTGGCGGATGCGTTGAATTCGTGTTTTTCGTCGCGTTTCACCGCGTCTCTTGCCTTACTCCGTAAAGTGTCGTCCGATACTTAAACTTACAATGCAATTGCATTACATCATTGTGCGCGCAACTTCTGCAGTTAATTTTGTAACACGTTTTGAATCTTTTTTACCGTCGGCGTGCGGGATACGTGTGAAAAGGCTTTATAGGAACAGGAATCAGCGTTAGCACTTGCGCACATTGAATACATATATGACTTGAAGAGAGCCTCGAGGGTTCAAATACGAATAACTTACGAGAACTGAGGTTTGGTTACTAATAAGGGCGGAACATTTGCAATAGGAAGCCCAATGTTATTATATATATGAGTGTGCATTGGTGTAGAGGGAGAAAACAAAAACACTCAGCGTAATTAGCCACGCGTTTTTCCTGAAAGCATGGTGTTTTGTAGTTACAACAGATCGAAAACAGTTTCTTTTGATTACACTAGGGAGCTTGTGGACAAGACGCGGGAACAAACGTTTAGTTTGAATTATTTTTTATGCTATAAACAATGGTACCTTAGCATTAGGCAACTTGTTTGTTTGCAATATCACACCTATATCTGTTTTACGTTCTTAATCGCGTGTGTGATATAAGCATTCGCTTTATCGGTATATTTATGAATTCTACGGAATTGTATATCGTGCTTGGTCCCGTGTCCATAGTCTTTCAGTTGCTTAAGTAATTTTATTATAACCATGCAGTTTCAATTAATTTATTTCAACACAAATATTTGGACTCCCCGCGTAAGAAACTGTCACAGACCACTTGATAGAGCCTATGATTTACAAAATGTGACGCCGAAAAGAATCCTTCTGCATGAAAATCACCTGAGTGCAGCCGGTTGTACACGGCGAATAGGGAGTTACTTTCAGTAGCTGACGACGTCAAAATGTGCAAAGCGCATCGTTTCAAATCAGTGAACAGCTTTCTACAGAGGTCAATTGGGTGGCGCCTGGCGTTCGACTTCAGCCAAACTTATCGGAGATCATTTCTTTCGCGCTCTTCAATTTCATTCGGCAAATTTTATGGAAGATGAATATCAGACTTTATTTGAAGTCTGGCATTCCCTTATCTCACCATTCTCATACTTTGAGTATGTCGTAAGCAAATGTCCATATAACAAAAAGTTTATTTCATAAGGCCAATATTTTGAAATGCTGTCAATGAGTACTTTAGTTAAAGAAATTTTCTAGTCAGCCTACGCTGGTCTATCAAAATATTTCTCGAGCGCTTAATTTATTTAAATAAAACAGGCAGGGACAATATCACTTTTTTATATTATCTACAGGATTATATGAAACTTTTGTAGTCATTATAAAAGACGTTTCCAGTCTCGAAGTTAGAAAAGGTTGGTGTACTGAAACCAAACATCGAACAGTAAACTTGTCAGTTCATCTGTTTTTGGTGATTCAGCAGATTGTTAATCATGTTATCGACCTGCTTTTTCACTAAGCACTGATGCAATATAGTCTGTCGCAATATAAAATGATTAGTTCAATAGCTGACTTGAGCGCGAGCTATCTACCTTTTGTACCGCTCGGTGCACGCACAGCCAAGGCACGGCTGCAGGCAACGAGCGCACGCTGCATGCGGAGCTTGTCCTGCTCTTTATTTTTTTTTTTCTTCTGGAAATTAGTGTTTGTGGGTACGGCCGTGGACAATGGTACTCCTCCCTGTGCATCAGCGCTGTTGTTTCATTGCCGAACCTGGCCGAAGTTAACGATGGACGGAATCAGACGCATATAGTGTTCCTAAAGAAAAGATCGCAATTTAGGCTCGAAGCCACTTCTTGGCTTGCCAAGTGGCTCAATACTATTGTTTCATTCGCTGTGTGCTACAAGAAAGAAATTTATATCGCAAAACTAATCGAAAGTGGCATGAAACAGCATCACAATCGCGTGCACGTTGAAACCGAAACCGACCAAATTGAAGCAACCTAATGGCGGCGAGTGCGCCAGCGCCCTCTACCCGCCGGTCAGGCAACTACTGAAATGAAAAAGTCTATAGTGGGGTAAAAGGAGACTGAAACGTGGGAACAGCGTGCGAGACAAAGTGGAACAAGCAGAGGGGACAAGACCGACCGGCGAATGTTTATCGAAGAAATGAAAACGGCCCGAGCAGCCGCCATAAAGAGAACTAAAGCGTAAGAGAAAAACAAAAGAGAAACGAGAAAAAGCGCAAAACATTGGAGTCAATCGGACGTCCGTTTCTCTCGCCGGAAGAGGGTCATTCGACTGGTGAGTAATTTGTTGTAGGCACGACCTGGTACGGTTTCCCAAAACACCAGAAAAGAGAGAACGGCGGGGGCGGAGGAGCGGGAGTGCCCGGGAGTTGTCTGGAGCCCCTCCTTCCCGTGCAGGCACCGGTCGGACGTGGCCTGCAAGTCGAACCCCGCCTGTGCCTGGTGCGGAGGATCCGGAGTCTGCCTCGACCGCCGCAAGAAAAAGGCAGGCACCGCTCCTCTCTCCGTCTACCGGCTGGGCCTGTTTCTGGATCAGGCTAGATCTTGATTTTGTCTCGCTCCACAGTTTGTGTTGGGATCGGAATTGATGAAACATTTCGCGAAAGAAACGGATCTTCGAGAGAATGATGTGTCTGGCCCGCTTTGCAATGGCATCCTCCTTTTAGGGCAGAACTGTTAAGGGCTACTTTCCCCAGGATTTTCCCCATGATCGTGTCCGTCCCCAAATGACCCGATGACGCAGAACTCTGGACAGCTACCACCATCTATGAGCGATGGCGGCAACCAGACACCCGGCTTGCTGGTTGTCTGGTTGCCGCCGTCGCTCGTAGATGGCGGCAACCTTTCCAGCCTTTCCACTCTTTCTTGCCGACTTACGGCCGGCCTTTCCTTCATTCCCAGCATAGGAGAGCTTCGCCGATCTACCTGGCTGAAAGTTTTTGTTTTATTTTTCCCCCGGCGTAAGGTTTGACCGCGCAAACTTCTAGTAATGCAAAGCCGACGGTGTTTTTATTTTAAAACCGGGAACGGTTTATTTTATGCAAGGGGCTCTGCAACTGAGGTTCGTCCCTATATACGGAAAGGTAGCGTAATTCCTCCTCTCCCCGCATTCTTCTTTCCATGGAGGGCAATCCTCCTTGCCCTCCTTCCGCATCACGCCCCGCCGCCATGTCTAAGCGAGGCCCACAAAGCGCGTGTAGGCACGCGCCTGCGTGCCAGACCGTGCTTGCTTGCTATTGCATACGGGGGCCTAAAGACAATTTTTTTTTTAAATATGAAGACAGTTGTTTTTAGGGGCGAAGCTCCTTAGGGTCTAGCCCTATCCATCTGTCCGGCGTCCGTGCTCACATCGATTGCCATCCCATCTGTCTATCCTGGATGAAACGTTGCATGTAGCCACTCAACGTCTATACAGGAGAGGGCGCTGCGGTCAAATGCGTATATAATTGCGTTAAACTTTGCATGCATTGGCTCGACGTTTATAGACGAGAGGGCGCTGCGGTCAAATGCTCAAATGCGTATATAACCACGTTCCATTCCACACATTCTCTTTCTGACATGGACCGTTGACTTAAGCGGTGGAGGTGCGTTCCCACCGCTTCTAGCGGATCCAAGCTGATCCGTTAGAAGAACCACTGGCTCTGCATTTCACCGACCATAAAGCAGTAATAATGAAGTCGAAACGCAACCCGGAACTCAGCACTACCTACGGGCAATAAACAAAATATCAGCACCATCAGCACTACCTATGAACAATAAAATCAGTATCATCAGCACCACCAGAGCTTCGCCCCAATCAGCATCATTCACCACGTGGAGATGTGATTTTTAATGTGAAGAAACTAGCGTTCGTGCATCGTCATTGGAGTTAAGTCAAAACTTGATTTAACGAACCCCGATCTCACGAATTTCTTGATTTAACGAACGAACTGTGTTTCCTTGGAAGATTTCCATAGGGCTTAATGCGCGTATGAACTCGAAATAACGAAGTATATTGACCGTCGAACCCGATTGGATGAACTATTTCCGACAAAAATGTATGCAAAAGGAAGGTTATTCGACATTTCTTTTGCACAGAATGGATCGAAGCTTGCCGTTCGCGTGCCAGCGGTAGAATCAAGGTGCCACAGGTACTTGCAGAGTGAAACTGCACGGAACGCGGATTCTCCGCGTGCCTTTGGATCGGCTACCCTACACTAGATGGCGCTAGTGGCAGCGGTTGCTTCGTGTCGCGTGCGACAGATGGCACTGCTCGTCTCCGACTCTCCGCCGTCTCCGCTCTCGGTTAGGACTCGCTTTCTTTCGTTGCTTGTCTCTCCTCGTGACTGAATCTGTCTGCATACGATATCTGTTCCACTACGGCCCGTGTTGCTGATATAGCATTCGTGCTGTCACGAGTGGACGGAAGAAAGGCAAAGTTGCCGCAGAGGGCGGCATCCCAGCCAGCTCGCTTTCGACAATCTTGAAATCGGAGGACGCCATCATTAGTTCCACAACCGCCGCAATGTTGAGTGCCACTTCTTCTGGGCATCCGCCCGAGAAGAAAAACCTCGAGACCAGCCCGCACGAAAAATTGGAAGAGGCGCTCTTCACCCGGTTTATGGATATGCGAGCCAAAAACGTTCACTCACCGGTGATGTGATGCAGCAGAAAGCGCGCGCTTTGGCGCGTTTGCTCGGACACAATGATTTCGAGGCAAGCCGCGGCTAGCTGTCGCGGTTTCAAGAATGCTACGACATTGTAGGAAAAACAAACGTTCAGCCTTTCCACTCTCCCGAAGAAGGAAGACCAGCGGAGCTGTACTCGATACACTGCCGCAATGCGCACGCGCCCGATTCCCGCTTCTTGTTCGACACGCCGCCGATCGTGGATACGTCTCTGGCGAACCAGAGTCGGTCGCACGCGGCGCACGTGACGCCAAACGGGTTCTCCATAAACACCCTCCGGAACCTCGCCGTCGCACCCAGGAACTGTTCAGCCGGCGTGGAGTGCAGTCGTCGCCGGGCCTCGCGCTTGCGCTTGGCCTCCGTGGCACGGTCGTCGTCCGTGGCGTTGGCCCGCCGGCGCCCTTTGCATCGCTGGTTCTGTTCTCGGCGGCGGCTTTCCAGGCGAGCAATGTGCTCTTTGGCAAGGGAATCTGAAGCGCTGGAGCAGTGGGAAGTCGAGGCGACAGCGGCTTTGCGGCGGTTGCGGACCCATTTGCGCTGCTGCGTACGTCGCCGCTCCTTCCGCAGCCTGTCTCCTTTCCCCGAAAGGGAGCGCGGCCGACCCGTCGTGAGTCCAAACTGAAACTGATAGGAGCGTAGGAAACAGCGCGAAACAGACAAGAACGAAGAAACAAACGTGACGAGCGCTACGCTCGTTAGGCGTGCTTCTTCTTCGTCGTCGTCGTGTTTTTCGCGCTGTTTCCTGCAATGATTTCCTACCAACGCGCCCAACTATCAATTCTTCTATGATAGCTGGAAAGGTTGCCGCCATCTACGAGCGACGGCGGAAACCGTACTGGTTGTGTGCTTGCTGCCGTCGCTTATAGATGGCGGCAGTTGTCCAGGTAGGTTTGTGTCGACGTACCGGACACGATCCTGGGGAACCTAGCCCTTAGCAGCTCCGCTGTTAAAGTTCAAGTGGTTTGCTGGAGTCCTCCTGCCGAGGCGGTTTGCTGGAGCTCACGAAGGAACGGAGGACGCGTTGGATGCACTCACGAGCTACGAGAGGTCCGTCTGCTCCGCAGGCGAAGCTAACGAGCTTCTTCGCTCAAAAAAAGAGACTCCCTCGACTTCCGAGGTTGTCTTGTTTTCCTTTTAGCGCGCACAAGCAGCGTGAGACCCCTAACTTTTCCGTGCATCTTTTAAAAATTTCAGTGCAGGGACACGCAAAATCGATACCATGGGAGTTCTCACGATGCCGCTGCATTAAGACTTTGTAATTACGGAGCGAAATGCCCGAAAAATGAATTCCCCGATTTTACGAAGTTCTCGTTTTATCGAAGTAATTCGCGGCTCCCTTCGACGTAGTGAGATCGAGTTTTGACTGTACAAAGCGTGGGAAGACGTCTCGATCGGCAAATATAATAACGCGAGCAGAGAATCGCTCGAGTGTGAAGACGGCGGACGACTGAAAAAAATGCCAATGTAGTCTCGAGTATTTCGGGACATTGGCATGCACCGCAAAAATATATTTCGTTTACCCGTTTCTTGCAGCAAGTACTGAGAGCAGGCACACGACAGAATGCAGCTTTCCCTGCCCGTGAAGAGAGTTTCGTAGACAAGGACTGCGTTGCTAGTGAAAGCTCGTGCCTTCGCTTTGAGGATAGATTGAGCACACACCCGCAAGGCTCGGAATCTTTAGCGTACGCTCTACAAAAACTTTCTAGTATCTTCAACGATGTGCATTGGCAGTATCACTCGAGTTAGGCAAATAAAAGACACCGCTAGTGCGTAAAACCGGGACTTTTCTTTAGTTTTTAGCTTAACTGATTGTTTTGCCAAACCAGCAACTTGGTTTATTTGGTACACATTTGATAAATGTCGAATACAACCTGCAACTGCGCACATGCGCACGGAGAAATATGTGACGTCTGCTATTTACGTGCCTCGTGCATTTAACTATCTATCAAGAACACTAATTTGTGTCCCCTCGGTTAAAAACATAAAAAATAGCGCGTGCTCGGTTGCCTCGCTAGCGCGTTCCTCATTTAACCCCTTTATTAGCGAGGCCCTCTTTCACCCTCCCTGTGTTTCGAGTTGTTGTGACGTTCTCATGCGCAAGGCACGCCCTTGAGTTGACTTGCAAAGCTTGTAAGCTTTGCAGCACACCCGCGGGCGTACCTTACTGCGTCAGTTACGAATGAGGACAGAGATCCTCCGACCTTCGTGGGCGAGACCGAAGGAGACGGGGAATACGATGCAGAGTTTTTTAAGGACTTGCCACGCAAAGTCTCCCTCGGAGGCAGTCGAAACTTTTCCGACCGGTCCGGTGGAGCCATTGTCTTCGTCGCTAAACAATTGGTTTTCCCGTCGAGACGGTAAAAAGATTCTTTCCTTTTGCAGCGCTGTTTGTGCAATCCACAGCGCAGCGAGATGGCATTGCGTTGGCGCCGAGGTCGCGGTAGAAAATAAAGACCCTACAGCTGGCCCAGAGGCAACGGAGCCGCCGCTACGCCTCGCCCAGAGGCGGCGTTGGCTTTTAGGAGACCACCGAATCGCGTGGGATCATGGGAAGGGAACGGCCACGTGTCACGCTTGATCCGAGGGAAAGAGAACTTTCGAGAGGAGAAATTTCTCCATTTCAGTCGATGGTTTGCGCTACCTTTTGTGTATATTGGCTTTAGGTGCGACGAACGTTCTACTTTGCCAAGTGCTGCTCGAATCAAATCCCCGAGGTTTGTAAGCTACGGAACTGGCATAAGGTTTTCTACCCACGCAACGGCAGTTGCGAAAGAAATGAGAGAAAAATGAGCGACGTTCGCCCCAACAACTCGCAGCAAGAACGAGGGGATGCGTGGTCTGGGGCCGATTCTACGCCGGTGATGTTTATCGTTGCAATGTCCATAAGCCGGGTGCATTGCTCGAAACTTGAGTTAGGAGTTCCGGAGCGAAACGATGGAAGCATACCCGGACAAACCCGGTGCCAAATGGCTCGCAAAGTCTCGTCCGTAGGTGTCATCCGAGTACCGAAACCACGGTTGCAGTCGCAGTGTTTGCACAATTCACTAAGCAGTGGGGCCGCTCTTGTGGGACGTCTTTATTGGTCGTCGACAGGCTCGGTCGAACAAACCGAGCCGGATCGAGTGAGACGTGCGACGTAGGATGCTAGGCCTACGCCCGTCCGGCCACGAAAACGCGCGCTCGTCGACGCTTCCCGAGGCACATGCTCGGGACGGTTGTTTTTCCTACGTCGATGGAGGACGTCTCGGTAAACACGAGACGACTCGCACTCGGTAGACAAGCTCGACGAGCCGATTGGTGTAGGCCACTGCGCGTCTCAAACGCGCCGCCCCGACTTCATCCGCAGGACTTTGGTCGGGCTTTGCACGTCTGACACGGCGGTGGCCGCGCGTGTGAGCTTGGGGCGGCGGAGAGGGAGGGAGGCGTTGCCCAAACCCCCGTTGTTGCAGGACTGCCGCTCGGGCCAGCTGAGCCAGGGCAGCTGCCCCGGTCTGTGCCCGACCCTGGGGGACTGCCAGGCCTGCATGGTGTGGGGGGCTGGGGCCTGCGGCTGGTGCGTCCAGGCCGCCCTCTGCCACCCCATCGCGGGTGAGTGGGGTCCGGGTGGCCTGCTCGGCCGCTTCATCCGGGAACGAGACGTTCGCCTTCCGCGAAGTGCAAGTTGCGCGACTCGGGTCCCGCGAAGACGGGTGCCCGGCTAAAATTCCCTCGAGGATGCTGCTTTTGCGTTGGGACCGCGCATAAAGGGATGGTGAACCGATATTCGGATTTCAGAAAAGAATGCAGGAGCTGTAGGCGGGACACTGCAATCCTTACCACACTGCTCGTAAGGCGACATCTCGAAGGGACGGCCGTTGGATAGAGGTTGGGATTGAACGAGGCCTATGAGGCGTGGGACGTCGACGTATTATTTCCTCCTCTCTCGGCTTCGCCCTCTCAAGGCGGCGAGACGGAGAAGACGCGAGGCTGTTCCCTCTCCTTCTCGACTCCTCTCGGAGAAACAAGACGTAGACATACCTGTCAAATGCGCCTCCTTTTATCGAAAAATACGGTCATCCGTTCGAGATGTCGTGTATGAGTGATGTTTTGGCGTTTGTAGCATCCCGTTGCACGCTTTTGCCGCCGTGCTTTGTGGAATCCAGATATCGGTTGAGGATCCCTTTAAGGAGGCAACGGGTGATTACGTGCGCTCGGGTATTTCTACTCGTTCGTGCAAACGATTGGTTTTTCGAGGCACGTACTATCTGGTTACCGAAATTTGCTGGTGGCTGTTCTCGAAACGCCATAGTTTTTGAGAGAAGACTTTTGTCGCTGTGGATTACTGTACGGCACTTTGTGCAGCTGGGCGGAAACCACCCGCGAGTGTGTAAGACGTCCCGCCGTTCGAGGGGTGGCGGCATTGCCGGAGTGCACGTGCGCGTGTGCCGACCCTGAACCGCGGTTCTTCCGCCACCACCAAAAATGAACGGAAACGTCGCGCGTTTACTTTTGGTTCTGCCGTTCTCTCGCGAGTCCGAGTGTTGCGGCGCACGTGCGGATCAAAGAACCTGTGGCACAAAAGTTACTTCTCACTTCGTCTACTCCCGTGTGGTGACCTTTTCTGTCGCCGTGTTTTCTTTGATAGCGCATTTTTTCTCCGGTCGTCGGAAAGCTGAAACAGGAGTTGTACCGTACTTGCGTGATGTGTTCACGAATGGCGCCGGTCGCAGGAGGTGCCTCGTGCGTAGCTGCTTCTTTCTGTCATTTGGCATCCCCGCAGTTGGAATGGCAGGAGGGAGAGCGCACCTCCAGACGCGATAACATGCGCGCACTGGCTTTGCAAAACAAGGATGCGGAAATCGGTGCCGTTGCTTTGCCAATTCTCGAGGAAATGTGTTCCGACGCGGTGAGGGACGGGAGTGGGTGGGCGGGCGAGCGGCGTCTGCGATCCAAGTGGCGTCCCTCGCAGAGCCCCCGGCGGTGTGCCGACCCCCGCTGGAGGGGAGCTTCTCCCCGGAGCAGGGGGGCTTCTGGGGCCCCCACGGCCACATTGTGAGTTCCCTGGCCGAGTGCCGCACCCTTGACTTCCGGCCGGGCCTGCTGCTCCTGCACCACCTCAGCCCCGCCAACCTGTCCCAGCCGGACCAGGTGATCCGGGCCTCTTGCTTTCCCGCGGCCCCTCCGTCTTTCGCGACCGCGCGGCGGGTTCCCCCCGTGACTCGGGGAGGTGGGCGGCCGAGGATCCTCCTTCCCCGCGGCAAACCGAGGTTGCGCGTTGGCCTTCGACCCTGCGTCGGACACCTTCGTTAATTCGAGGCGAGGTGGGCCTCGCCTCGAGGAATTCCGGAAGAGCGCCGTATTCATCGTAGACGTTCGTAATCGGTCGGAGACTCTCATCAAATGCCGTTTGAGGCGGTTGTCGCAACACGTTTCGGGGGATTTTATTGTTTGCGGCAGAAACGGTTCGACGCTCGCGGCTCGAGAAATTGGGTGCCGTCGTGGATGCGCCGACGACGCCTCGCCAGGGAGGGGTGGGAGAGAGGTCGGCAGTGGCCCGTCAAAACCCCGGCCTTCCCGGAAATGGCACGACTGGCTCATAAATTAAGGAGCGCTTCATTTATTTTGTTTATTAATTTTACGGGGGAAGCGGCATAGTGAGGTGGAGTTCGTGGGAGCACGTGGACTATAGCGGTACGAAGGAAGCATAGAAGAATGAAGGGTAGTAAATCTAAATGCCTCGGGAGCCTTCGCTCCACCCGCTGCGGTAATACCCGCTCCTGCTCGGGACGTTTGCAATTCTAGGGTCTCGATTCCCGACGGCGGCCGAAGTTGTTGAGGTTATTGTTCCGACAGACGCTCCGTTTTGTCTCCGTTTCCCTCCGTCCGGGGGGAATCATTACCGTGCCGACGAACCCGGACGAGGCCACAATTTGCCCGGTTCTCGGGAAACCCGGAGTGGAAGTCGCATCCCGCGAGGCGAGCTCGTCGAGGGCGTCCAGTTGTGGGGAGTGCGCCCGAGGGTTCCTAAAGGCGGTGCCCGCAGGTGGTGTACGTGAACGACACGGGCCAGCCGTTGGTGCTGTCCTCGGAGTACCAGGAGGAGCCGGCGGGGGAGCACGTGGCCCGGCTCTTGGGCTTCCTGCATCCGCTGGGGGCGGCCGCCCCTCCGGGGGAGCCCCTGCGCCTCTTCCCAGCCCTGGGCGACGGGAGGGCCGCCCTCTGGCTCGGCCACCCTGTGCCCGCCGACGCCCCGCCCCCGGACGACGCCGTGAGTGCCCCGGAAGCTTCTTTTCCTGCCGCTCGAGGATTTTGGCCGGATGCGCGCCGCCGACGTCGGGGCTCGACCAATTGGTTCCCGCGAGACTCCGTCGGACGCGTAGAAAGTCGTTCGATCCGTTTACCCTTTGGTAATACCCCACGGGCCTGTCGAGAAGAGGGACCGTCGGAAGTGCCGCCCAAACTTTGGACCTGGGTCCTCTTACTGTGGAGACCGGTTCTAACCAAGTCGGTTAAAATGAAATAACGGCTGCAGCGAAGTATTCACAATTTCCCGTTTGCACTTTTTCGATGCATTTGTGCCTGTTTTTAGCGGAAGAAACTGAGCGGCTCCCGCTGATTTAGCGAAGAGAAATTTAAGAAAAGAAGAAAATTCGGAAAGCTTCTCGAGTCTCGGACCGCCGCACCGTGCTGCTGCGGCCAAGAAGCCACCGAAAACGGGCTGCAGAAGGTGCTGGAAAGGTCATCGCCGGCAGTCTCTGCAACGACGTCTGCTCCCCGCTCCTTATCTGGGAAGTGACTTTACCGCATCGCACGCGGAAAAGCCGTCGTAGCATGCCGACAGGGACGTTCGGAGCGCTAACGACAATGTATTGGCGGAGATGACGGAGAGAGCCTAGACTTGAGAGAGGGAGAAGAAAGTATGCCTGCATTTGATTGTTGCGAGGCCAGTGTGGCCGGGAAACTGGGCGGAAAGGCGGACACGTTTGCAGAAGGTGAATGCATTTGAGTTTTGACTCCTTGCTTGCTGCACCTCGTTTTGCAAACGCGACCCACAAACCGCGTGACCCCGGTCGAGCAGCTGCCCCATCTCTTACATCTTGGCTGTCCATACCGATGACAGACAAGCTTGTGCGCCAACTCGGTGGCGTGCGTGCTTCTTTATTTGCTTCGTGATCCCCGTTGGCATTTGGTCGGTGATGTCGCTCTTGCGTGAAAGTCTACTTTGCTCGAGCACCGATTCGGCAAATCATCGCCACTCAACGACGGAGAGTCCCGGCAGCGCTGGCACCTCGACGGAGAAGACAAAGGCAGTTTCCTTGAATCAGAAGCCTGCCATCCCCGACGGAGTGCGCATAAGTGTAAAGAATGCCGTCCACTGCGGGGCCGTCGCAGCTGTCGACACGCTCCGTACGTAGCAGGGTCTCTTTTCCATCGGAGTTTCTCGCAGTTGGCGAGAAGCCTGCATGGAAGCCTCGATCGCTTTCTGCAGGCTCGATAAACACGTGACAACCCGTGCTGTCTTTTTTTTCCGCGTTATTTGTATGTAGCGAAGCGATTTCCGATTCCCAATGACTTTGTTATAACCGATCTTGAGAGTATTTCCAAACAATTGAAATGCCTTGCAAAAGGTGTCCGCTTTAAAGAAACTAACGCAACATTTTCTTTTTGGCCAAATTTGCTAGGGCGAAAAGCGCCGCATACTTTAGGACTGGCTTATTTATTAAGGATTGCCGCGTGGGTTTGCTCGGTTCCTTGGGCCGGCGTGCGAGTCTGGGGGAGGTTGCGAACCCCCAAAAGCGGCCACGGGTCCTAAGCGGTGCAGAATGCCGCCCGTTTTAGTTTTGCCCCTTAGTTTTGGTATCAGATAGTAGCTGGCTTCGATTTCCCCGCCCATCCTGCACCAATGCAGAAAAGACTTCTGGTCGTATCTCAACCCACATACCGGAAGTGCACTGCCCTGCACTTTTCTGCACCGGTGCAGGACGTGCAGATAAATTGAACCAAGCTACTCTCGAGGTGAGGACACGCAGCGGGTCGAGTCCTCTTGGCGCACGACCGAATCGCCGCCAGCCAGACTCCTCAACTGTTGGAGCGGAGAAACAAAAATGAAAAAAGTACAGTTGGCAGCAAAACTTTGCGGGGTGTGGGAATGGCAGCCAAAAAGACTGGCTGCTCCTTCTCGCAGCGTGTTGCCGCTCTCAAGACTCGCGCTTTGCACTTCCTTTCTCTTTCGCGGTCATGTTTTTCCGCTTCCGTTAGACGCCCACGAGGTGAACGGACGGGCTCAAGGTGCCACGAAATGTTATCTGTAGCAAGCGCAAACTCTGTCACCCGTCACAGTGACTGAGGTAAACACGCAGCACGATGGCTGAAAAAGTGGCACCTTGCACCGATCCCGGTTATCTCGTGCACGTCGGGCGGAGGTGAGTAAAAAAAAACGTTCAGCCTTTCCACTCTCGGGAAGAAGGAAGACCAGCGGAGCTCTACTCGATGCACTGCCGCAACGCGCACGCACCCGACTCCAGCCTCTTCTCGTCCGACACACCGCCGATCGTGGAAAAGTCTCCGGCAAACCAGAGTCGATCGCACGCGGCGCACGTGACGCCAAACGGGTTCTCCACGAACTCCCTCCGGAACCTCGCCGTCGCACCCGGGAACAGTTCAGCCGGCGTGGAGTGAAGTCGTCGCCGGGCCTCGCGCTTGCGCTTGGTCTCCGTGGCACAGTCTCGGCGGATGCTTTCCAGGCGAGCGATGTGCTCTTTGGCAAGGGAATCTGAAGCGCTGGACGCAGTGGAAGTCGAGGTGACAGCGGCTTTGCGGCAGTTGCAGACCATTCGAGCTGCCGCGTACGTCGCCGCTCCTTCCGCAGCCTGTCTTCTTTTCCCGAAAGGGCGCGCGGCCGACCCATCGTGAGTCCAAATCAAAACCGTTGGGAACGTAGGAAACAGTGCGCAAAACAGACGAGGACGAAGAAACAAACGTGACGAGCGCTGTGCTCGTTACGCGTGCTTCTTCTTTGTCGTCGTCTGTGTTTTGCGCTGTTTCCTACGATGAATTCCCACCAACGCGCCAATCTATCAATTCTTCTATAATAGGTGAAAAGATTGCCACCATCTACGAGCGACGGCGGAAACTGTACTGGTTGTGTGCTTGCTGCCGTCGCTTATAGATGGCGGTAGCTGTCCAGGTAGGTTTGTGTCGACATACCGGACACGATCCTGGGGAACCTAGCCCTTAACTGCCCCGCCGTAAAAATATGCGACTGCGAGCGCGAAAGGAAGCGCATTCTCTAAGCGTGAATCTGGGAGCGGCTGCGCACCGTTGGAAGGTGCAGCCGGTAATTCTGGCCGATGCTGCCGTGCCCGGCAAACTTTTGTAGTCGACTGTCCCTCATTGCCACAAAACCCAGGTGCATGCGCTTTCCGCTCGGTGCGTGTACTCCAAGTATTATAGAAACGCGTTCTCAGAACCGTTCTGGCCGCCGTCGAGGCACGGGTCGTCACGTAGCGGAGGTGGCAAGTTTTACGGGACGTGGCACGTGCAGAGAAAGACTTTACAAATGAAAGCGCTTAGCCCGAAGAAGTGCCAGAGCCCTCCAGTAGCGCCGTTCCCCAGGAGCTGGTGGCCTCCCTGAGCACCCACACGTTCAACCGGACGGAGGCCCGGCGGCCGGACGGGCGGCCCCTGCTGCCCTCGGCCGCCCGCGAGCTGCGCTACCTGCTGGACCTGCGGCTGTACGTCCCGGCCAAGACGTGCTCTAAGCGCTGCGAGAAGAGCCTCGAGCTGCGCTGGAACGCCCTCTCTTCCCACCAGGTAGCCTCTCCTTGGCCCTCGCGTGTTCTCACGCCGCTCTTCCTCTCGAGGCTGTTGACGTCTTTTGGCCCTTGAAATTGCCGGCGCCGACCCCGAGTGAAATTGTTTTTTTTGTCCTCAAAATCATAACGGCGAGCGGCGGATCGAAGACGGGGTGAGGGTAATTTCTAGCCTTACGCTCGACGTCTCTAGGCTGCGCCGTCGAGGCTGGCTCACTTTCCGAGGTGCCGAGTGTCCCCCACACCATGGCTCGAGGACGCGGCGTCATCTCGCATCTCGTTCGCGCGAGTATTCTCTATGGCACTGTGGAAATTACGTTGGCCACGGCGATGTTGCTTGCAAAGGTCGACGCCGAGTAAGAAATTGGGGTTGCGACGTTGATGCGCAAAGGCATTGGGTGAAAGTGAAAGGTAGAGGCGGTGTGCCGATACATGTTGTGTTAGATAAATATATAGTTTAATTAGTGCCTGTCAGCAGCCGAACATCCCGTACAACACTTTGTCGTTCTCGGAACAAGCAATGGTATCGTTGCCAAAGGCACTGTCAAAGAACATGCGTCACAACGTGACTGAGCGTACAAAATATTCGACCAAATATGCCGTTCTGTAAAAACACCTCCGTCCGTTTAGCCGTGTCACTCGCCTTAGCCTGGTAAAAAATTCTTTCGGTTGCGTCGTTTTCTGGGGCGGGGAAGCGCATTTTTTGATGCCCATCTACTATAAACCAACTCATGTTTACAAACAAACCGGAGCGCCCCTAGCAGACGCCACCGCGCATGCGCGAGGTGGCTGTGAGCAAGAAGCTCGTCGTCGCCCATAAACAAACCATTGGAATGGGATGTTGTCGGCGTGTGTGCGAGTCCCCCTGCCCTTTTTCGCGTTCGAGTTGTTGATTCTATGTCCTCCGAGCAGGCAGAAAACGCATAAAAACCGTCCTTCATACCTTTGCCGACTCTTTTGGTAAAGCCCCAGTCACGGCACTTTGATGAGAGGGCAGGTTTTTGTCCGGTTTCTTCCGAAGTGACGCAGGAATGCATGTGCCCCATGGCGGCTTGCGCCCACAACCCCAGACCGCAAGTGAACTCGACGCACCACCACTGCGCCGTGACGTGACAGAGATGAGTTTGTGTATACCGTATTTACTCGCACAATGAACGCACTCGCGTAATGAACGCACCCCCCAAGTCGACTCTCAAAATTTTTACTTTTTTTTCACTCGTATTAAATGCACCCCCAACTCGGACATCAAAATTTTGACCCCCTCCTTCCACGCGCGAGAAATGAACGCACTTTTCTATCCTGGTGCAGCGAGGTCGCGAATGCATGGGCAGCGTGGGCGAACAAAACGCCTCGCAAAAGGCATTAAAAAAGTTCGAAAAGATCCAATGGAAGCGAGAAAAAAAACATGAAGAGGAGCTTTTTTTTGGCACAGCGCAGTCTTGACTTTGGGGTCGCGCGCAAGGATATAGAAAGATAAGCGGAGAAGCCCTCGCCTAAGCAACACCTAAGCAAACAAAACAGCTCGCGAAAGGCGGCAAAAAAACCCCCACGGAACTAAGTAAAACAAAATACAAAGGAGCTTTTCCTTTTTTTTGCACAGCCCAGTTTGGTTACTGGGTCATGCGCCTCGCGCAAAGAGATGAGAAGTTACGGTGATTTCTCAGGATAAAAGGTCCGTTCATTATGCGAGTAAATACGGATGCAAAAATTTTACTTTGCGTAATGAATGCCCCCCCCAACTTTTCATTGATTTTTCGGAAAAAAAAGTGTTCATTGTGCGAGAGGGTACAAAGAGCGCTAGACTCGAGTAGTTGCAGGAGCATGAGACGGCCAAAAGAAAAGAGTGCAGCATTCAGGCGCCTGTTCGCGGCCGGAGTGGCGTCGCCGTCGGCGTAATTGCGCGTTGCATTGTGGAACGTTTTCCACAATGACTTCACCTGTGACGTCACGAGTGACGTCACGAGAGAGTGCATCACGTGTGACGTCACGAGGTTAATATTTTCCCGCTTAATTTGGTGGAAAAATTTCCCCTCTAAATTTAGCAAAAACGTTTCCTGCCAGATGTAGTGAAAAATTTTCCCGCCAAATTTAGTGGGAAAATTTAACCCTCGAGACGTTGCACGGGATGTCACGTGTGACGTCATATGGGAAATGTCCCATAATACAACGGACCACTATGTCGGTGCTAAATTCCCCGCTAAATTTAGCGAGAAAATTCTCGGTAAATTTCTCGCTCAATGTAGCGGAAAAATGCGATTAAATTTTCCGCCACATTTAGCGGGATTTTTTTCTCGTTCAATATAGCGGGGAAATTTTCCCTTAATTTAGCTGGAAATTTAGCGAAAATTGCCCGCCACGTGGGAGGGGAGAGAGAGAGGGGAGGGGGGGAGCAGGGACATACCAAATACTTTACTGGGGAGAATACATTCCACTCCGCTCATTTGTTTTAGAACGCCTACAGCGACGAATCCAGCCCTGACAGAGAGAGGTCCGCGTCAGTCCACACGCATGTGCACATGAATGTTCGCAGCGGTACCGTCTCCGATTCCTCCTCAAGCCCCTCTATGTTTCGAAAGTAGCGCAAGGTGCGTCGATGCACGAGGCACGTGTAGCCCTTGGGAAGATCGTGGCGGCACAGCGCAGCAAAGTGTTTGGCGGAATTCTGAGCTAGATTTTAAAGTCCATGTTCTTCCTAGAGGTGGCACGCGGCACGTGTCTCGAGCATTTCCGCAACAATAAATTTGGCGTGTAGAACAACCATCATCGTCGTAATCACTTACCGCCCGATAGCCGAGACCTCCCCGACGATAGATGACTCTCGCCGAGCCCAGAAAAGCTGTCCGCGCAGAGGCTGTTGTATTTGAGAGGAGTGGACTCCCCCTAGTGAAGTATTTGGACGCACCCTCCCTCCTCCCCCTCGAGAGGTGCACTCCAATTTGGCAATACGGAGAAAAGTAAACGTCTTTCATTCTTTTCTTAAGTATCGAGGTAGGACAGAAAAGTAGCGAAATAAACCCCCGGAAAAATACAATGTATCGGCGCAATATTTGTGCCACGACGCGCGATTTAGGCCGAGGTACGCACTGGCCGTGCCCCGACCTAGGCGTTGCCCCGAGGGCCGCGGGGGAAGAAACACTTGTTTCCTGCTCGTGCGACTCTGGGGTCGACCCACGTTGCCGCTCGGGTCGGTCGCTGCATGGTTTGGTCGTTGCGGAACTTGAAACCAAACTCGAGCGTCAATTTCTCTCTCGAACGAGCGATTGGTTGCCGGTGCACCGGGGGCGCGGACTGCGGTGAACGAGAAGCCGAAATGCGCAGGTGATTGGGCCGCGGCACCTGGAGCCGTTCCGCAACGGCACGGCGTGCGGCGGGAGGGCCACCTGCCTGGCGTGCCTGGGCGACGCCGGCTGCGGCTGGTGCCGGTCGGCCGGGGCCTGCGTGGCGCGGGGGGCCTCGGGGGGACCCTGTGCCCCCCGGGGGGAGCTGCTGGTGCTGGAGCCCGAGCAGTGCGCCACCTGCGCCGGCTTCATCTACTGTCCCCAGTGCGCCCAGGTACGCTCCCTCGACTCTGTCGCCCGAGCGGTTGCGCAACAGGCTCCGGCCGGGGACGGATGCCGCGACTGTCTGGGCGGAATTCTCGAACCCCGGGACCTCGAGGAACCCTCGTCCGCCTCCGACGGCCGCCGGGGAAAGCCGCCCGGTCTCGACACCGATGCCGGGGAGCACGCGCCTCGTAGTCGGGCGTCGACGAGCCGATCCGCTCTGATGGCTCTTAACCGTAAAAATGCCTTTCCCGGGGGCAGACGAGGCTGAGGGAATCGGGGAACCCGCGAGAGTACTCTGGGGAAGTTTCCCAGGAACCCAGTTTGGGAACCTGTGGCCCGGACGGATGCGGGCGAAGGTGCGGCAAGTCGAGGCGAGGTGGGGGGCACTTTGCACGACGCGTCTAAACTTTGGATCGGGACTCGTCGACTCGAAGCGTCCTACGTCCGTGTGGGCCGCCGTGCGGGGAACGAGATCTGTCGGAAATGGCCGGTGGTTGTCGGTCCGGAGTGCGTTTCGGAGATTCGTGCGGCGGCGAAAATCGTCCCTACCGGGCGCGCACCTTCGGGGCTCGGCGTCGCGCGCTCTGCGTTTCCGTCCTGTCGTTCGATTGCCCTCCGGAATGCCCGGGGGCCTCGCGGGGGTTGCGACACCGTTGGACGGTGAGAACGCGTTTGCCCGGCGCGGTCGAGGAGGGAGCAGCACGGGGCAAATCCCGAGCACAGACGTCGGTGGCCCCGAGAGCAGAATAGACGGAGAGAGCGACGGAAAAGCGGACAAGGTAAGCGGACAATACGTTAGTTGCGTTTGATTTGCTGGGACGACTTGTTCTTTGAGCGGTCGACTTTATCTATATTTATACGACGCGCAATGCTTTTCCTAAAAAGTAAGCTGGAAAGAAGCTACCGTAGAATACCGCGCCATTCCACACTAAGCGCCCACCCCCAAAATTTGAAACATTGAAAAAATATACGGGGTACATATATATGTAAAATTGATGACCTCACATCCCATATTTCTTGGCGATTATCTTCAAATTTTGAGTGGGCGCTTGCTCGGTATTTGACGGTAGGTGCGGACCTTACGGGCGACATTTTGCCGCCGCGTATGTGAAGAGGGCGTGCCCGTTGGGACCACCCAAGGGGACCGCGTCTGTGCCCCAGCGTTCCATAGCGGCCGGAGGACCTTCTCCTCTGGACACGTGACTGGGCGCATTTGACGCCGCTTCTGTTCCGGGCACCTTGCTGGGCGGACGGTTTGCGGGAGAGACCCCGGTGGGCCTTGCAGGAGCCGACCTGCGAGTGGGTGGTGGAGGGGGCCTACTGCTCCCGCAGGGGCAGGCACAGCTCGGCCGTCCGGCGCCCCGGCCTCTGCCCCACCCCGTGCCACCTGTGAGTATGCACTCCGCTCTTGCCCCGCTGCCGGAGCGGTTGGGGCTCGACGCAGAAACGTGGCGCGCAATTGCGTTGTCGTAAAAACGAGTTTTTATGAATGCAAATAAATGCATTAGCTAGAAGCTGCTCGGAAACAAGGGGCGGGCTGGGCAACGAAGCCCGATCAAAAACTGCGGTACAGAGTCCAAGGGTGGGCGTCGGGAGTGGATTTACTTCCTGGGTTTTATTTACGTGAGCGCGTTTTATTACCTACGGTTCTAGCTATACCCTGCAATTAAGCTCTTAAATTGTACGTAGCAAACTATTAGGGCGTAGAATGATAGAAAGGCGTTACGAGAACGACGCATCTTTTTAGGGATGACCGGAGAAATATGGTCGTACCAGAAAATAAATGGCCCAAAAGGCGAGAAAAGCGAAAAGACAACAAATGCAAACTTCATTGCATTTGTTGCATTGCATTGCATTCGTTTTTTTTTAATTTTTGGTACGATAGCGCGCCATTTTGCCTTAGCTTAATAAATATTAATCCAAATATGAGATTTTTGTTATCGAGTTTTGAGCAACAAATTGGGAAGGACCAGACCGAGTGAGCTGCAATTGACGGCAGTAGCTGCATTGCGGAAAGGCACGGCGAAGGAGCTTTGCCTTCGGCCAGTCTGCTGCGCAATTCTCGCAACGGGTTCTGAAAAGGGAAGCTGGGCAGTGGCACTGGGGAGGCAAGAAAGTGCCTCTGCACGGTGCAACCACGTGGGTCTTTTGCAAGGGCCGAAGGGGTGGTGAGGGGGGGAGGGGAGGTGGCAAGAACGAACGGAGAACGCTCCCTCCTTGATCACCTTGGTTTTTCGGAACAGCGGTGGCCCACGGGGGAGAGCGAAGTAGAGCCTCGTCGTAGTTCGCGAAAGGGAGGGCAGGGCCAATGCTGTGCAAGGTTTTTGCATTCGTACACGAGCATTTTGGCCGGAAAGGGTCACTACCAGGCACCGCCGTAAAGACCGGCATATTTGACCGATTGCCTCGACAATGCGGGGGCTTCTGAGCCCCGCTTGGGTGGCAAACTCTTCCCGCGTAATGTGCCGACGCGCAAACCCTTTCGGGGTGTGGCGGACGTGCCAGCACGCTGCCGGGCTGCGGGTGAACCCTCTCGTTTCAGGCGCCGGGGCTGTCTGTCCTGCCTGGGCGACCCCGGGCGCTGCGCCTGGTGCCGGCAGACCCGCTCCTGCTTCCTGTTCTCCACCTTCACCACTTCCTTTATGTACGGCGGCTGCCGCGAGTGGGTGGACGAGGACCACGTCAGCTCCGGGTGGGTGGCCCCGCTGCGTCGGAAATTTCGTGACGCCTTTTTGTCGAAGGACGACTCGCACCATTCTCTCCTTGCGGCAGACGGCTGCGAGGGGTCCAAACTTGCGCGCATCAATTCATTGACGCTGCACTCTCCATCGGATGCTCGCGTCTAATGTTGCCGTCTCGTGACGACCCTCGACGTTTCGATTCTGTCTGGCGAATCTCTGCGCTGTCACGCTAGCGCCGCGATGCTTGGCTTCCTAAGTGCGAGCGATGCAACGCTTGCGCTTAGGAAGCGAGATTTGCGCCGTTTTGTGCTACTCTTAGGAAACGTAGAGTGCAGCGTGTGTGCTACGAACTGCCCGAGCATGCGTCTCTCGTCACGCGTGCTTCTCGGAGAGCGCGGAACGGCGATCCCCGTCGCCCGGTCTCTTTTCATCGTCGCTCGTGCCGACGACCGCGTGCCCTTCCGAGAAAGCGTCCCCCAGAGTTTGCGCAGGAAAGAAGCGGAGGAAGCATCCGAGTACTGGCGGATTTTGCACGGAGCCGAAACTGTTGGTAATGCAACTCTGCCCCGATTTCCCGTATCTGCTGCCGGCAGTCCCTCGGCCTGTCTCTGCCGCCCTTAGCATAAAGGAGAAGCTTTCCTTGGAAACGTCCCCTGCGTAACATTGCCAGTGCGCGATGTGACCCTTGGGATGGAAGGGGGTAGAAACGTGTCCCTGGGGGTGCGCAGGGGAGCCAGCTTCCCGGGGGCGCAGTGCCCCAACTGCTCCCTGTTGGGGGAGTGCGAGGCCTGTCTGCAGAAGCTGGGCTGCGGCTGGTGCGGGAACGACTACAACCCCAAGAACGGCGTCTGCGTCGAGGGAGACTTTGCCGGACCCACCCACGGTACCCACTTTGGCGTTTGCAAGGATGCAAACTTTTTGTTTATTTTTCTGGCTCTTTAAAAACACTTCTTTCGAGTAGAGGCGTGTAGGTAGTGAAAAGACGGTGAGAGTGCAGGCGAGCTGGTGGTAGCTAATCATGTCGTATTACACCTGAGACTGCGGTGGAAGAAATCGGAAGAACTTTCAGTAGAAGGAACAGACACAGAGAACGTCTCAAAAGACGTTCTCTGTGTCTGTTCCTTCTACTGAAAGTTCTTCCGATTTCTTCCACCGCAGTCTCAGGTGTAATACGACATGTGTAGGTAGTGTACAATATGAGAGCTCTGGACCATCCCCCATTCCCCCGACTTCGAAAAAGGACCAACGAGAAATAATATGAAAACAATATAGAAAACTCACCCTGTAGGGACGTATTTCACCGTGTCCCGTTCATCAATCGTTCCCGGTATATCTTCTCCCTTTGTGTCAACTAAATGGTAATGCCGATCAACGAAGAATCGTTTAATTTTAAATGCTTCAGACGTATGATTTTGCTCGTAACCTTTTTCGAAAACCCGTTTACATTGTCCCAATCTCGCAGTATCGCCGACTTTCAATTTCGGCTTTTTATTACGTATGGGCGAATACAAAATGTTCCCGACGACCTCTTCGTTCTTTTTTAATGAGGCTTCGATCGGAGTCATTTTAATAGGTCTATAAAAAGAAATATTGTAGTTTTTAACCACTTTATCCGAAACATAAAACCAAAGTGGCTTGCTAGAAAAATCGGTCTCAAAATGACCGATGTAACTCGGAGATATGCGGAAGCAAATAATAAATATATGCCAGATTACGATCCAACCAAACCATCAAACTATCTAATGTACTTAGATGTAAATAACCTACTGTAATATTCCGAGTAATGCCCCCCTGCCGACTGAAATTCATAAAAAAAGTAAGGTCTCGGTGTTTCGTGGGTGAGTGTTGACTTCCTTGAGCAGTGTATTCCACGATGCTCAAAGAAGACTAGCAGCAGCATCCACGATGAGCTTGTACTCCATTCGGGCGCTGAATCTTCGCCCAAATAGTTTCTTCATTTGGGAGGGAAGCACTCTTTCCATCGCGTGAAGTTTGTGAGAAAGTTCTTTTCTCGTAATCTGCATTACTCGGTAGCATGAAGTCCAGTTGTTGCAGCTACACATTATCAAACCACAACTTCCGCAAGCTGTTTCCAAAAAGAAAGGTTGTTTCGCTGTGGTTCCCTTCACGCACAATTCCGCGCCGTTTAAGGTCTATCGCGTCCAAGTTCGACAAGAGTGGGGTTTCTTCTTGTCGCATGCACCTCAAACGGAAGTGCGAGAAAAGGTTAATGGGAGCGACAGTCCCAGAGGGTGCGATGTAAAGCATGCCCAAAAGTTTGTAGAATGCGAAGAAAGAAAGGCTTATTCAATCCCACTAAGCTGTGGCAGTCAGTACCAGAATTAATTGGGGGGCTAGTTGGTTGAACATCTAGACGGTGGTATTGAAAGCGCAAAAGACTAAGAAGAGAAGGAGGCGCTCTGTCCTGTCCCCTCCTTCTCTTCTTAGTCTTTTGCGCTTTCAAAACCACCGTCTAGAGGCAGTCAGTACATTGGACAGACTGGGAGATGCGTCAACCACCGACTCAGAGAACATAACTTGGAAGCATCAAAGGCTTCAGATGAGTCTTATCACCCCATTGTCGTTCACAGCCGCACATGCGACGACTGTACTCCTCATTTTTCTGATACTAAGATACTGGGTAGGCACAGATTTGGGAGAGAAATCATCGAATCATTTGCCATGGGGACTGTAAACAACAACATTTCTGCACCGTCACTGACAAAGGCAGAGGTTGAATTCCTAACACCAGAGATGACTAGATTACTGACACCTCGTTGTGACGCTACAGCCTTTTAAAACTCTTATATTTATAGTACATTTCCCTTTTGGACTGCGAACAACTATAGTTCTGCACCTTCCTTATCACTGACAATGACAAAGGTTGAATTCTAGGTAATCGGAGATGACTAGATTAGTGATACCTCGCCGTGACGCCGGCACTTTTCAAACTTTTATATTTAGTGTATTCCCTTTCCTTTATAACTATTGTCTCCTTTCGCTCTTTGAGAACCTTGAGACCCTCGGGGGGGCGGCTTTATCGTTGTGCCATCCTATGTTGTTGCTCAATGAAAGATGTCCCGTTCCCGTCCTCGTCCTCGCTGTTTCATGCTCTCAAGTTTTGTATCCGATTTTGAAGTTCATCCGCCGGTGCGGTGGCATCAAATATTGAGCCCTCCTGCGAGTCAAGTTTCTTTGACGCCTCCGCTCCGAACCGCCGTTGCCGCCGCTACCCTAAGGGTCGCCGGCATCCTGGGAACAACCGGTTTCCTCCGTGTGTGCTGCCTATCGCTGCGAGCAAACGCTCGTGAGTTTGAAGTTCTTTTAGGGCCCTTTCAGGTGACCTCAAAATCTTTGAAACGGTCTGAGGTTGAAGAGGACGTGCAGTGGACTTTTGGGAGTGTCGTGAGGGGCCACGTCGTGCCGGTTCTACGTGAGAGGCTGCCCCGGCAGAGTCACAACCGAAACTGCGGTACACAGACACCAAACCCAGTTGTTTTGACCGTTTGACAATTTCCTTTTCCAAGTCTGGGAGGTCGGTTGGGGAACTGGACAAAGAGAACTTTGTCCCATTCCCAAATCACCGATCATTCTCAGTGCTACATGTGCGAGCGCCGCGGCACCGCCATGTTTTTCGAGGGAGAATAGAAAGCCGGGAGGCGACATCGCTGCAGACTGCGATTTTCGGTATTTCAAAAAGAGGGGCCGTAGTGCGTTTGCATTTGCGTTAAAAAACATGTTTTACGATTGTCGTTATTAAAAGTTATAGCAATGTCGCGTACAAAGCTTCTAAATTTCACGATATTTGTTGTCCCAAATAAAAAGAAGCGAGGAGGCGAGCAGTGCGAGAGGTGAAGGCCAAAAAGAAAAAGGTGCTTGCGCGCATAGAAACATTTTTTTTTTGTGTTGCAGTATTTTTTTGTTTGTCTATGATTATAACTTCATTGTCTTAGACAATAAAAGATACGTCCTTTGGGGTGTCAGTGCCCCTTTAAGGTGGCATCCCTGCGTGGCGTGGACGGCACCGCAAACAAGGAGCTCGAAATGGGGCGCCCTACAAACGTCTGTGTGCGGCCTTCCCGCGAAGCTTTATTTACCCATTGGCTTCGTCTTAAACATTGCGCAATTGCGGTTGCGACGTGTTGGGAGAAGGAGCGTGTTTGTGGCGACCTTACTTGGGCGGAGACAGACTTTGACCTTCCACTCTGTGGTTACATTCCAAGATACAGGGTGTTCGCTTACCTCGCAATCCCTGAACGGGCCACTGCTTGTGTCAGCTTTCCACATTTTTTTTTTTTTTGGGGGGGTGGACGATTTTTTTTAAAAGAAAACATACTTTTATTCTGTTATCTCCATCGTTTTCTTTCCGCGCAGATACGCTACGACTTGGGGGTCGCTTGCGGAGGAAATGTGCGAACAAAGAGTGTTTCCCTCCTTCATTTTCCTTTGTCGCGGACGTCCTCCAACTGGAATGTCTTCGGCCGCGTCATTCGGGTGGGATGAATGTTTGCAGAGTCCGCGTTGGGGTATTTGAAGGGGTGGGGCGATGACTCTGGGTATTACAGTGTATGGATGGGCCTTATCCCATCCATAGGATGATTTCGATGTGTTAGATTCTCACGAGCCCTTCTCAAAAGAATATGATTATATGCGGGGTGTCTAGCAATTTTAATTACCGGTAAAAATCCGGGTATTGTCGGGGATATTGTCAAAAAGTGAGCTCAGTCGAAAAACGAGCCGGAAACGCCATCGAGTGCCCCGAGCAAAGACACTCGGGTGCAGAAAAATATGCACAAAATTCTGCTAAGAGCAAAGCCCAGACTCTGCTCACCTGATGTGGAGTGTGCTAGCTGATGCAAAGGGAACAGCGGACAAACCCAGTCAAGCCTTGGATTCGATTCAGGGCACAACACTAGGCTAAATCCAGTTAGAGCTACTAGATTTAGTAACAAATGGGAAGGCCGCAGACCCCAATCCAATTCGAACCTTAAGCCGAAAGTATCCGAAAGTGTATCTGGCAACCACGTTGCCATTTGGTTATTGACCTGTGTGCTTGAGCGTCATGTTTCCGGAAGTGGCCTTTTCACTGGCGATGTCAGCGGCAAGAAAGTGCTCGTTCAATCCGGACTGGACGAATCCCCATATTTCGGAATGTGCGAGTTGAATTAGGCCCGCACGAAATTATCCTCACTGTGCTCAGTGCCTTGTCTTGTAATGCTCTTATATACAGGGTGCCACAAAAGAAAATTTACGGGTATTGTTTTACCGCAAAAATAAGCTAGGCATCGCCGAACGCTCATTCTCCGCCCAACGGTAGCGCTAGAGGTCACAACCAGATGCCAAGGTTTCAGCCCGATCCAATACCTTATTCAAAAGTTACAAGTGATTATCTGAAAAGTTCACTGGGAAAATGGCGGCCGACAGAGTTTTCGAATACATGGGGCTCTATGGCGCCAGAAACCGAAAACGGGCAAATATGGGCTCCATTTTCCAATAGAAATTCTCAGAAAATCACTTGTAACTTTTGAACAAGTCATCGGATCGGGCTGAAACATTGGCATCTGGTTGTGACCTCTAGCTCTAGCTTTGGGCAAAGAATGAGCGTTCGGCGATGCCTAGTTTATTCTTGCGGTAAAACAATACCCGTAAATTTTCTTTTGTGACAGCCTCTATTTAACCGCCTCTACAGTGGTCAGGGAAGTTCACCTGAAATTGTCAGGGAAAACCTGGAAAAGTCGGGGAATTTTAAAAGAATAATTTTCTAGGCACCCTGTATATGTTCGGAGTCTCTCTAAAATATACGGACGAATTACACGATAAACATAATGATTTTTCATTGGCCCTAATTAAACCGAGACAAAAACTTTTGAAACCTTAAAAGATAAAAAGAAATACGTTCCTTACGTGGCCTTAAAGAAATACATTAAACTTGGAATAAAAGTAACCAAGATACACAGAATCTTCAGATTCAAAGAGAAACCCTTTATCGGGGATTGCATAGACCTCAACACAAAACTGCCAAGTCAAAGTAAAAATGCCTTTGAAAAAGATTTTTTTAACTTAATGAACGATGCTGTATATGGAAAGACAATGGAGAACCTAACAAACAGACACTCTTCAGAAACTTGTTAAAAAAGTAAACTTCAAATCCAGAAAAATACGGTGGAATCTCAATTATTCAAACTCGCGAATAATTCCAACTAACGTGCAGTTCCCGTCCTATGTGTTTCTAGGAAAAAAACTTTCGGTAATTGAAACTTGGCATTATTCGAACAAACTTTTGCTTCCTTTTGGGTTGAAATAATGCGATTCCACTGTATTCCGTGAGGACTTGGTTTTTGATCATTTTCGCGAAACAAAAATATTGTATCTAGTCGCATAATAAACCCCCGCAACAAGTACCAATATTTGGACTTTTTTTTTCCCCTCGCGTAATCAACGCGCCTCCTATTTTCGGCTCCGGGAGTCCCGAATAGGTGAGCGGCATTTGGCAACTTCCGGTTTTTTAGGAAATTTTGTTTAGCTGTTAACAAGCGACGACGACGATCTGCGAGCCTGTCTAAGCATGGTTTTGAAAACTACAGTCTGAAGGTTTCAGAAATACGCTTGCGCAGGCTCGCAGCTCATTGTCGTCGTTTGTCAACATTGAAACAAAATTTTCTAAGGAACCGGAAGTTGCCAAACGCCGCTCACCTATTGCGTCCAATCTAGCTTGCCACCGAGCCAGTTTTCTTTTGCCACCAAGCGGTCGGGCCGAGTCAAGCCGAGCCGAGCCGCTCTCGTAACGGCAGTTGCGGTAGTGATCAACCGTGAAACCGAGCAGCGCGCACGCTCGATGAAGCTTGGGTCGAGGAATTGCGGAGCCCCGGACATTCTTCGCCTGTCCTATGCATCGATGTCAACAAACACGCCGTGGTCCCTGGTTCGGCCTAATTTCACATACTCGGGGGAAATGCGTTTATTTAGTCCGTAACAGAATGGCAGAGTGATGTGCACGCTGCGTCCTAGGTGGAGAGTGCCTGGTGGTCCCTGGGAACGGCCGTCTGCGTGAAAGAAACTCGATCTGTGCGAGTGGGCCTTTGCGGTTGGACTTGATACAAGTTCTTATACGCATATTCAGGGTATATACCTGAGCGCGCCGCCGGATACTAGCAATATATTTTGCCTAAGAACGCGTTGCTCTCTGTGCTTAGTGAGCTTCGTAGGCTGCTTTTCCTTCGGCAGAAGGCACACCGAAAACGCCCTAAAAAGGTTAGCAATTTATAAAACACGGTTCCTGCGGTGCGCCCACGACCAGCTGAGGGTCCTTCAGTGGAGACGTGCCACAGTACCTTGCCACATCATGTCGCCAGCTAATGTGACATTTGCGCGAAGCGTGCAAATGCAAAAATTTGACCCGGTGTAGCGAATGCACCCCCCAAATATGTGTCAATTTTTCGGGGAAAAAAGTGCGTTCATTATGCGAGCAAGTACGGTATTTGACGCCTCGCAAATATTTGGTCGCGAGAGAATATACGAAGCGAGGACAAATTTCCTGTTACAGGATACAAATAAACGGGATGAAGGCTGGAAAAGAGCTTCTTGCCCGGTACCAGCATCGCTGGGTTGGCCGTTGGGTGACACGGTCGTCAGAAACATTAGGGAGTTCTAGAATGGAGGGCCCCTGCGCCCCGGAGGACGGTGCACGGGGAGCGATGCTTGCACCATTGCCTTCCAGAAGGGGGTTTTTCCAACGTGGCGCGGCACACCCGCGTGTCTCACTTGCAGCACCATTGCGGCTAATGAGCGAAAAACGGGCAAAAAACGTAAAACATTTGCACTGAACGAATCTTTTTTGGCACCTATTGTTCGAAGAATGTCTCAGGTGAAACTAAATCTGGCAAATTATCAAACGTTCGACTCGTTCTGAGTAAAAACGAGGCTCGCTGCAATTTTCCTCCTCGTGCAAAAGAGGACGACAAAGTCAGTGCTCGGAATGAGAAAGAAGTGAGCGGCAGAGGCTGGCAGCATGGAACGAAAAGTAACGCTCGATATAAAACCTCGTTCGTATCACAAAAATCGCCTTCTTTGACTTTAGTCGAAATAGGTACGCGGTTCGCTTCTGCGTGCCACGAACGCCCGACCGATCAAACCGAGGCGATCCAGGAGGACTCGCGAGAGGTTGCCGGATCGACGATTACCGCATTCCTTTAGGTTTAGGAATGGTCAAAATTGGAAGACAATACACGGAGCGAGATCATCGCTTATACGAAGTGAGGGAATGCGAAGCCGCACCATGCATTGCGGGCGAACGTTCCTCATAATGCGGCGTTTATGGCGGATTTGTTTGGGAGCGAGCCACGCTAGCTGGGAAGGCTGCCGATGGGTTAGCCGCCGTTACTTCTCGAATGGGCGAGTGCTAACCCGCGGTTTGAATGAGCTGTATGTGCAAAGGTGAGCCCCCACCTTTGAGGGAGCTCCTCATGTAGGGGCCTCCTGTTCCATAACTCCCTATTGCTCGGGCTCATTTTGGCATTTGGCTCATACGGTGGTAAAGGCCAACATTTGTTGCCCGAGTGAGCTCCCAGGCGCGTTTGAGGGCAGTTTTGGGCGCTCTGGGACAGTCTGGCGGCCGTGTTTGGGCGGGAGGTGGCCTGACGCCCGGTGCCGCTTGCAGGCGTCTGTGAGGAGCAGGTGGCCAAGCGGTTCCCGCGCCTGAGCGGCTCCCGGGAGGCGTCCTGGTCGTATGCCAAGTGCCCCAACGTGAACGAGTGCAAGCTGAAGCTGGCCCACTGCCACCCGGACGCCCACTGCGTCGACACGGCCGAGAGCTACCGCTGCGTCTGCAACCGGGGCTTCAAGGGCGACGGCAACGTCTCCTGCGTCGAGACGTACGTCCCTTCTCCCCGCCCTCTGCGGGGGCAGACACTCGTTTCGTTGTGTCCCACGTCGTCTAACGAGGTGGCAGGGAGGCGGGCCTCGTAGTGACCCTCGCGGTCTGTCCGGGCCACGCCGCAAAAAACGCAACTCGGACCGCGGGTCGCCTCGTCAAAGGTGTGTCGAAGGGTCCGAGCCGCTTTCTACGAGCCGCGTCCTCGCACGCTCCAAGGCCAAACGGTGCAACGGTGCTGCTCTTTGGAACGTCTGGGGGCTCCGCCGAAATCCGGCGGTGCGCCTTCGCGGTGTAGATTTCGGAGAATATCCGGCATTCTGCCAGACTCGTGGTCAAGTGCCACTTGTGAGGAAGCGGGTGTCGGCAAAATGCAAACGTCGGCGGCTCGCGATGGGTACGGAGGTGGAACTCCCCGCTCTGGAGGAAGTGGCAAAAGTGGTCGACGGAAAGATGCACTGCCGGAACTCTTCCTCGAAGGTGCCGCGCTCGTGCGTTGGAGTCTTGGCAGGAACCGCCCAGTCGCATCGGGGACTCGCGACGCGGCTTCCGTCGGCTGTGAAAATTAGAGGTAGCCGGATGGAGACCACCGGTACGGGGGGGGGTAGAGGGATTCTGAGCCCGCATGGCGCGAGCATAGTGCTCGCTTTGTGGTGTTTCGTAGCGCGACCCAAGCGAATCGCGAGGGTTGCCACCAGGGTAACTGCAGGGTGTTTGCAAGTTTCATTCGGCCGTGAAAAGGGCTACAGAAATGTGCCAGTCAATGGAGAGCGACGAATGTTTTCGCAGGTATGTCCGTAGGGGGCGCATTTATTAACGCAAAATGTGTCAAAGGACTCGCATCCTCGAGGAAATCATTACAAAATGTGTACCAGATACTTGAGACTGTACTAAAGATTACATATTTAAGAAGAAAGAGTAATGAATTGAGATGAAAGAAAATTCTGAGCACTTCCTGACGGGAATTGATCCCGGGACTTGCGAGCCCGACGCTGTAGGTCCAGTGCATCCAAGGGGCAGTGGTAGAGGGTCAGTTCTAGCACTGTTGGAACAGTGACACAAAAGCTTCGCGTCATTTCGGCTCAGTGCTCGGACCTCCCTGCGGCCTCTCAGTTCCGTATAACCCCAAAAAAGGACAAATGACTGCGACAAGCCCCAAACAATGCCGGGAAACACGTTCTGCGTGTGCCCATTTTAGCCAGAGGTCCGAGATGTACTCGGATTTAACTAGTGCAGCTTCCCAGAAAAAAAACAAAAAATTAGAAATGTGTTTTGGATTAAACTGCGTCTCGAACGATTACCAATAGCGACACTGAGACTAGAAACACGACGTGACAAACGCAAGTACCCACGACCGTTTTTTTTTCCGCGCAAACGTGGGGGCAAAATGCAAAAAAAGGAAAAGTAGAAAGAAGGAACAACTGCATTGTGATTCTTGCCTGCTCGAACCTACGCTGTCGTGGCCGACGAACGTGCGTGCGGAACGGGTCGTTCCCGGGGGGGGATGGAAGGGCGTCTGGCCGGAGCGGGGGAGCTGGTCTCTCGCAGCTGCCCCGAGCACTGCGTCCAGGGCCGCTGCTCGGAGGCCCCCTCCTTCCGCTGCCTGTGCGAGCTGGGCTGGACGGGCCCCCGGTGCGAGGTGGACTGCGGCTGCAACAACCACAGCAGCTGCGACCGGGGCGTGGGCCTCTGCGACCGCTGCCACAACCTCACCCGGGGCCAGCACTGCCACCTGTGCCGGTCAGTTCCCTTCTTCCTGCACTGCTCCAGCCAAAGGGCTCGCCGCGTCTCACCAAAGTGGCCAGAATTCGCACTAACTAGTTTAACTTTATCGATACGGAAAAATAATAGTTTGGCTGTCACTACACTGCCCGATTGTTACGGTAAGCTCGTGCCAATTTTCAAACTTTCTTTTATTGGTTAAAAAGTTAAGCACGTACAAATGGTGGATTTTGAGTTTGAAGCAAATGGTAGTATCGATAAAATATTTTTTAATCAAATTTTTGAATAGGCATTCACATTCTAATGAGTTGGACGAGCGCAGTGGAGACAAAGGCAGCCATCTTTGCACCTACCCACTAATTCCAACGGAAGTTCGGCGTTCCAACATTCGCGCGCGCTCTCGTCTCCTCTTCCTTGGCTCGTGCCCGCGAGCTCCGCGGGTATTCTTCCCCGTAGTGTGGGAGTGCTCGGCGAGAAGTGCACCCAACGAAGCTAACCCGCTGCGATTGACACTTTGAAAGGTCTGAATCTCGCGGTTCATCTCGAAGCGAATATCGAATGGCGTATCATTTGAAACTACCTTTCGAATATTCGCGCAACCCTGCATAGGACAATCTGCGATTTAATTTGATCTTCTTATCGAGTGTGTCTCGGTACTTGGGAGCACAGTCGCCGACTGATTTTTCATGCTTCGCAGGGACCAAAAAACGTCCAAATAATAGAGGAGGGCGAAAAATCAGCGGATTAAAAAATTGCCTTTATTACGTCTAAGCGGACTTACCAAAAACAACTTTTTCTGTAATGCCGAATTAGTGTGCAGCTTTTAAGGAGGAGGACGAGGGGAGGGTACGGAGAGGAGGGTATGGTCCTCCTCCCCCTCTCCTCCTCTTCCCTTCCTCCTTTCCCTCCTCCCCATTCTCCCTTCCTTTCTTGTGACGTCACTCGTGAAGGCCTAGTAAAGGTCGTGACCTTCACTGTGAGGGCTGTGTGACCTTCACAAGTGACCTTGGCGTGACCTTCGTGGAGGTCACGTGAAGGTCGTGACTTTCACGAGTAACTTTTGTGACGTCATTCGTGATGCCACACGTTACCCTAGTGACCCTAATGACGTCACATGTGAGGTCACGAGCGCGTTGCATTATGGGAAACATCCCATAACGCAACGCGCGGTTACGCCGACGGTGACGTCACTCAAGCCGGAAACAGGCGCCTAAGAGCTGCGCTCTAAAAGCCGTAAATAGTGCCTTGCCTCAGGTTACACCTGCGCGCCTTGTTTTAGGTTATGCCTCCATTTGTGTTCAGCAGTTCTCTGTTAGCTTGAGAATCCTTCTTTTCTAGCTTTATGGTCGAGTACTTTCTGCGCTTCTTAGCGACACGTTGCGGCGGCGGAAGAGCGGATGGGGCAATGACGTCCAAGCCAGCGTCGTCCGAAAACACGATTCACCGAGATGAGAGGTGCAAGCCCATGACTGCAATGGCAAATGAACAAAGCGAATGGAAACAACAACGATGATAACAATGTGCGGCTGAAGAGAAAAAAAGCAGTACAGCATCACCTAGCTGTAAGACTTCGCAGTATTTAAGCAGCGCTGCCAGATGAAGCCGTGCAGTCAACATAGAATGCAAAAGGGCCGCTTTTTGGTGGTATTTCCCGCAGATTGTTCGCGATGATTTTGTCACAAAAATCTAGCTTTCAGACTTTGAGCTGTTCGAAACATCAGTCGTGAATATGCACTATTTCTATCGGGTAGGTCACGGTTCCTCCTTTAGGTCAGAATTATTGGTGTCCGAAAAATCGGTCGGCGACTGTGTAACTATATTTCTCGCCGTCGGTGGTCTATTCGAAATTTCCTTCGTCGAGTGCACTCCTCGTCGCGCTTCGGTCTTTCGCAAAGAAGCCCACGGAATAGATGTTGCGATCCCGCACGTGTCGCTTTGCCGCAGTCTCGCGTCGAGAGCCGAAACACTCCTCTGGGGTGGAAGGACGCACGTCGGGCGTCTGAAGAGAGAAAATGTAACTAGAAGCGGCATTTGGACCCTGAGAGTGGGCGTCCGCAGGCCGGGCAGCTTTGGGAACGCCACCCTGCCTTTGGGCTGCCGGGAGTGCGTCTGCAATGGCCACGGGGACGAGGCGGCCGGCACCTGCGACCCCCGCACGGGCGACTGCCACTGCCTGCACCAGACCCGGGGCAAGCACTGCGAGGCCTGCGCCCGGGGCTTCTTCGGGGACCCCAGGTACGGGCCGCTCAACCACATCCCTGGACCTTCTGGGAAAGAAGCGTCGACGCTTTACAGGTGCTCCTGAAAGGAGAGACTGAACGAGCGATAATTCTACAGCCATTTTTCTTCCCTGTTCTATTTCTTTTAGATTTTGGTACTTCTTATTGCCATTGCGCGCTTCACCATTCGTCCGTTGCCTAGAGAGACGGGAGTTTGATCGTGCGTTTCGTGGGGTGTGGACGACGGAGTTTGCGGTTGAACTTGCCAGGTGGATAGATTGGCTGGATGCATAAAAACTCGGACTCAGAAACCTCTTAAATGCGCCTCTGGAACGTTAACGAAGTTGTACTCCGTTCAAAGCCTCGCTGAGGCGACGGAACACTGCGTTGCTCCGACTGGATTTAGTCGACCAGTCTCGGATCGTCGAATTTCTTTCTTACAACGTGCCTCGCTCGCTCGCTGGATGTATCCCGGGTAGTGGCACATTTAGGACCCGTCGTAATGGCCAATTCGCGTGACGAACCGATCCGTGGATGGATCGATCACGTGACGACATGTCCGCGGTTTGTCCGACTCACAACCGCATCCACGCGCAAGCGACAATGGGCAGACGCCCGCGAGGACAGTCCGAACCTGTTTGCCACTGCTGAGTGGTGCGAAACTTGAACATCTCGTCATCTTACCTTGGCATCGTTGTCTAAGGGAGAAATGGACGTTTGCTACTGCTATAAAGAATCGTACGCCGCTGTTAGGTACAAAGCGAGGCAAAACCCCGCGATAGGCTTTCGCTAAGTGCCTCTCGCTTTACTAACCCTAGGCATGACGGCGACGGAGGCCGAATCCCGCTTGTATGGGCTTTGGCGTAGAAGCGACTAGGTCCTGGGCTCACGGAGGGGCGTTGGGAGATGCCTTCATGCACTCCGTCCTTGTGCGGAACACACTAAGTACGCCGCAACTACAAGAAAGCTCTTGCTCAGCGAAAGACTGGTATACGCTAGAATTACCACGGCGTGCTTGACGAGTTTTGACGGAAGCATCTTGACGCAGAACTGGAGGAGTACCTGTGTCGTGTTAGCCGGGCAAGGTTTTTGCGATTTCTTTCACTCACGGAACCAAGAATTGCGTAACAAAATGAACCAGCGAATGAACAAAATGCGACGATATGCCATTTTTCTTTTAATCGTTCGAAAACAAAACAAAAAAACGAGAAAACGTTGTACTGCGGTTGGACTAAATGCTTTTCGAGTCAATCTCCGGCCAAAAATCCACGAGTGAAAAGGCGCTCGACTTCTTCAGTCCGCGTGTCCGCCGACGAGGGACAAAATGCAGGAATCGGTGACGTGACAGTTGGTACACGGTTCGTGGACGAAAATCACAATTTGGTCCTTGGTGTGAATTAGCTATAACCGGTCACATACCTCTCGAATAGAAAATTTGCGTTGAAATTCGGTCGATAAGTAATTTTTATAGAGAGGGCCAGCATCACATGTGAGAAGACACGTTCAAACAGCTCGGCCTGACGCGACGAACGAATGAGGGAAATGGGTCGGCAACCGCACGAAGATGAGCGGCATTCGTGCAAAGTGTAATTTGTCCAACACCTTGGCCCGGCCGCTCGTTGTTGCCGCAGCGCGAGTCGATCGCAGCCGACGGTAAGCCCGTAGCAGGCGGGTGCCACTCGGACGCTATTACGTTGCACGTGGAAGGTACCGTATTTACTCGAATGTAGCGCGACCACGATTGTAACGCGAGAAATGACTTCTCACAGCGCAAAAAAAAAAAAAAAAGAACACGAATGTAACGCGAGTTAAGTGAGGGGAAAAAAGTACCTTAAAAAGTACTACAACGTGGTCCGCGGAAGCCTTTTCGGTCGGGTTCGCACTTGAAGAGCACTTCACGCTGGAGCCTCCACCCCCGGATAGTCGATTCTGTCACATCTACCCGTCGATCCGCGGCAGAGTTTCCGATTTCCTCAGCCATCATAATTGCACTTCTTTTAAAGCGGGCGTCGTTCTGAGCTCGTCGCGTGGCCATTTGCTCGAGAGTCCAGTCGCGGAAGCACGTAGCAGCAGCTCACAAAACACGGACAACACGGGCACATGGGTACGGTAACCCTAACAGAAAGCGTTGTGAAGGTAACCCGCAACCCTAACATGGGCGCAACGAGTCGCAAACAAGAATAGGATTGGATTGGCTGTTTCCAGCGTGTATATGTTGCCAGCACAAGATTGAAAGATAGCGAGATTTGTCGTAGCCATTTTAAAGAGCCTGTGCTGCGACACCGCCAAGGCACATTTTGAGGCGTCTCGATTATAACGCGAACCCCCAAATTAGGTAAGGGAAATTTGAAAAAAAAAACTTGCGTTACATTTGAGTAAATACGGTAGTTTGAGTTGTCCCACCGCCGAGCTCTTCGCCTCGGAAGATGCGTCTCAGTGGCCTGGAGCGTGCGCGTGCAGCTCGACGGCGGGCAACGGGCGTCCACCGGGCGGAGAGTGCCCCCGGTAGAGCGTCCTCAGCCCCAGCGTCTCCCCAGGAACGGCGGCCGCTGCTTCCTGGACTGCAGTCCCAAGCGGGTGGTGCTCGTGGGGGCGGACGGGGGCGGCCTGGGCGTGCCCGGGGCCGCCGGGGGCGCCCACCACTGCCTCTGGATCCTGACCACGCTGCCCGAGAACCGGACCACCCACGAGGGAACCCTCGCCCTGTGAGTTCCTGGCTGCGGTCCCGCCTTCGCTCGCCGCTTCGGGCGGTGCCAGAGACGCGTCTCCGACCGGTTCTTTTAATACGACCCCAATTTCTGCCCGGTAACATCGTAGAAGCGACCCGGACCGCTAGTGCCCAGACCGCCAATGCCCGTTGCGGTCCGGGCACTGGGGCGGTGGTGGAGACCCACCGTAGTGCGGGCCGCCCTCTGGCTCGATGCTCCACGCGAGCCTCGAAGGTAGAGCCCCGCACATCCGCAGGTTACCGGCAGAATCGTCCGCGTATGTTTGCGGTCGACCGAAAAATGCGGATAAAAATTAATCGGATATGGCGGATCGCGAATTTGATACGGATGCTTGGGGCTGCGGATTCAGATTGGATTTGGGTATCTGCGAGTCCGGATCTACGTTTATGCCGAGGCAGCCCAGAAATGTGCGCGACTGCAGAGTAGAGTGGGATTAGTGAGTGATATTACGAAGTGCGTCGTCGAATATTTTGGGGGAGCAAACTACTCTTAACAAGATGAGAGGTGCCAATCGAGGAGAAAATTGCTCTCTATGCCGAGAAATACCCGACTCATTGAAAGTGCCTTAGGGTGTTCTGGAGTGCCTGTATAGACTCCCTACGGGGGCCACAGCTGCGCGTTCATCCCCTAGTGCTGGCTTTCCTTCGCAGCATTCAGTCTGCTCCTCACGTGACTGAATTCGGCGAATAGCGGTGCCGCACGTTCGAGGCACGCGGCGTGCTCAAAAGCAGGAGTATGTACGCCGGGGCGCGTGCGTCTACTCTCCTGAATGGCATTTGGGTTGGCTCCTCATGTGATCGGATCTCGGCGTATAGCAGCGCGGCGGCACGTGGAAAACAGACGCGCAACTTTGGCTCCCATAGGGAGCCTATACAGGAACTCTAGGGTGTTCTATCTGGTCAAAAATGCTCTCCCTAAAAAAAAGGAAAGAATGCGAGAGCATCGGTCGTCCCGGGAAACCGTGTTCTTTTTTGGCAGCAAAAGAGCGCGGAACGATGAGCTTCCACCACGCCGTCTACGTCGACGATCACAACCGACGCCATGTTTGCGGATAGAAGAAGCCGGCCCGCGACCGGCATGCAATGCGCGCGAACACTTCTCCTCGACCTGCGATGGGGCTGCCATTGCGGTTGTCTCCAACCCAGCGGAGGCACGCACGCACGTGAACGACACGTGCATGCGTCCCTCTGTCGTTATAGCAACTGAAGCCTCTCTCTTCGCTTCTCCCTGCTTCTCCGAGCAACCTCCTTGCCCCGCGAGTGCCGCTTGCGGCTAGCGCCATCATCTAGTGTCGCTCAGGGAAGCGTGCTCGCTGCGCCGGTCGGCGCGGTCTGCGGGCTGTTTTAGAAACCGCACTATAACCGGTATTTCCCTTTGCGCGCCTGCATTTTAAGCTGTATCTAATTACATGGGGTTCTATGGGAGGCGAACCGGTGTTTTAAAAAAGCCGCATTATACCCGGTCCTGCACTGTAAGCGGTTATGTTGTAAGTGGTCTATACTGTATTCAAAGTTCGCAATGTTGCCTCGAAAGGGTGCCACAACCCCACTGGGTGCCTAGGAGACACCTTCTGGGAGCACCGGCAGATGGCGGTGGAGCGCATATTTCGAGAGGCTAGGACACGTAGCGACGGAGGCCGCACTGGATTGGCTGGTTATAGGGGGCAACGCCGTGACTTCACACCTAGCGACCAAAGTTTTCCGGCGACGTCCCCCTTTGTCGATTTCGGAGCCCCGCAGTGGGGGACGGTGGCTGTATTGGCCCCGAGATTGGAGCGCTGCGATTGCTCGACCGTGACGTAGCATGAGGGACCACGTGATAAGTCCAGCTACTCCGTCTTGCTTTGGTCGGGCTCTTCGGAAACCGTTTGCTCGGTACTTTCACTTTTTTTTTTCTGTGTTTGAAGCCTGACCAGTACACGCGTGGGTCGGCTTCGGCAGCTGTCGAGCTCAGGGAGCAACGGTAAAGTGCTGTTCGGTGCCGCAATGCCGCAGTTGCACGACCGACCCAAACATCAGCTCGCACCTCTACCACAAGGAGAAGCAGCTGCGCACGGAGTGGCTCGTGAAATTGAGAATGGGCAAATTAAACTCTGAGCTTAACAGTGTAAAGCAAGCACTCGAGATGAAGCTTCGTGCTTGCGGTTGGAGTAAAGATGTTGGGTAAGTGCTCTGAAGCTATTTTAGTGAACCTCCACAAAGGTGTGTGTGTCTGGGGGGGGGGGGTTATTTCGTTGGCGTACGTCAGAGATAGATGCTATCTCGCATTTTGCTCTAAGCGACAGACACGAAAAGTTTCCGCAGAGAGTGATGCCACGCATCTGTGCATTGCATCATTCTTTCATTCAGTGTTATCTTCAGCTCGTGCAGGTCCGAAGTGAGCGCCGACATTTGGAGAATGAATCCAACGAACGTGTAGCCGTCCTTATCCAGTTTCTCGATGCTGCAGGAGAACACGTGTCCCACTTCAAGACCTTTTGCGCCCTCGAGCAAGAGCCGGGATGTTTCGTGGACCTTGTCCACAAACGCATTGGTGCTGCTTACAGACAGCACAACTGAAAAGGGATACACAGTTGTAACGGGATGCCCGGTCGAAGAGGAGTTATAAAAATTTGTTTACCTTCAACGGTAGGTTGCACTTTGTCAGCATCCATTGTGGTGCGCGATACAGCCGCCAAAAACGGCAACAAGTTGGTTGCAGCGACCGGTTCCCTGCTTGCGTGCAACCGGCTCACGGGCTCCCTGGAGGCATTTGTACGGCAGCTGATTTAGGAGCATGACGAAGTCGAGTAGTGAAACGAAACATTGGGTTAAAAGAAGCCTTAAACACCCGTAGTATTAAATAAAGAGAAGACCGAGACAGTCCACCCCTGACGCAGAGTGCAGGAAACGGTCACGCAATGCCTTGTCCTACGTCACCACGATAGGCCCGTCAGGTGGCGCCACACCATGTTCTCGGGGCTAATCTCTGGGACGTGCGTCAATCCTCCCCGCCCCTCGTTTAGTTTGCGGAGGGCTCGTTATGAAATGTACACCCACCTAGGGCCAGCGGCACACGCCGCCTCACGGCGCCCTGACAGCGGCCCGAGTGCACCCTAGCCCCGCTGTCCCCCACCGCACCTCGGGTCTTGCGTCACGCGGCCGGCGTGCGGGTGTGCGCTTTGGACACCTTTGGAAGCTTTTGCTGCCAAATTTGGAGACCTGTGTATGCACTTGGGCTGAGGTTCTGTTCTTTGGCCTGCCACGCCGCTCTTGACGCTCAGTTACCGTGTCGCTGCACCGTAAGCGCACGGCGGCGTCGCCCCTGTATGCGCAACATGTACGCGCAACAACGAAATCGTGCATGAAGGACCGCGCATCGTGCGCACGTCCTTCATGCACGAGGTAAGTGACCCCATCTGCCTGCACGAGGGAGAAGAGGGGTTTCGGGAATGTTCACCCCGCAGAAAAGTGTCGAGAGGCTGCATTCACCAACCTTCGTTATATATAACTGCCGCGCAAAATGCTGACGCATTTCTTCTAGAATCAACGTGTCGGCAGCGGCGATTTTTCTTTACAGTTGGTACGTTACAGTTAAGTACATGGTTTGGAACGTGCGATTGCAGGTTCGTGAGCGAGTGTATCGAATATTGCGATGTTTTCCCAGTGGTATAATTGCATTACAACATGTACGAGTACTTCGCTGCATTCAGCGACTGCCTTCCTTCTCCCAAATTTTTTTTGTTTGAGCTAAATAAAATGACGCATTGTTATTAGGTTTGACCGGAAATGGCGCACAAATAACAAAGACGGGAAAGTGTAGGCGGTACAAGCAGCGTCGCGCCTCTTCTCGTTCTGCCCAGCGAGTATTCAGAGACTCTACAACGACGGCGGATTTCGTTGCCTGCTTCTCGGCCGTTGTGTTGCGTTCTTCCGCTCCCTTTGTCTGCGGTGGACTTACGTGGACGGGTTTGGCTGCTGCCGAGGTTTCGGCTGCCAACCAAGGAGATGCTCGAGGCTCCGCCATGTTCCTTGAGGGGAGCGGTTGAGCGGCAGCCACTGTGTTCTTTTGACGTAATGTAATATTTCAGCTGCGATCCTATTTTGTGCCACTAAAGGGATACTAGTAATTTATTTTGGTCTCGTTTTCGACCATCGCCCTTTACCATAAAATCGTTGGGGTGGCAGGAATTCAAACTATGCTCCCAAAGTTCTCTTTGCTGCTCCAAAATGGACTCGTAGCTGCTCTCCGAAACTAGGGGTACCGGTGGCGTCAGGGAAAGCGTGTCTTGGGGCCCAGGCACGAGCGGGGCCCCCCGCTGGAGCTGACCCTGCTGCCGGACCTGCGTGCCCCGTGCCCGGAGAACCACGTGTACGTCTATTCCGGGGTGCCGCCCTTCGTGCTGGCCGGCCAGGACGGCGGGGACGGCAGCCTGCTGGGCGCCTTCTGTGGCTCCAACCTCACAGGTGCCTGCCAGAGTCCGCCCCGGAGCGGGTCCGCACGTTGCCTTTCGGAGCGTGAGACTGGGGCGGTCCGAGTTCCGTCGGTATAGTGCATCCCGCAGAAAGGTGTTTTAGGAGTTTAAGAGTCGACACTCTCCCGTCCGTTCCGGGTTGCATTCCTGCCCCCGGAGACGGTCAGGGACGTCGAGAACGCCGCAAGTCGCAAGCCGGTGCCATATATTGCGAGAGTTTAGCCAGTGAATCGTCTCGCTGCCGTAATGTCCCCTCCCAAGTGTGTCCATCGGCCCGCGGCGGAGAGTGAGAGGCGCGAGCCACGCGCGGCGACCCCCGGCTGCTCTTTGCTGAGCGGGAAGGGCCACCATTCTCATTGGTTCGCCCGGTGGAATGCGTGGAATGGATGTCTAAGTTTCGGTTCTTCTTATTTCGCTGCCCCTGGCTAGAAAATGATATACCGTAAAATACCGGGCAAGTGCCCACTCAAAATTTGAAAATAATCGCGAAAAAATGGGGATGGGCGCTTGTCCGGTCATCAATTTACGTATAAATGTACCGCACATATTTTCTCGAGTCTTACAAATTATCAAATGGGTGCTTAGTGTGGACTGGGCGAATGCGCGGTATTCTATGGTAGTGTTATTCCTCGGTGGGCTAAAAAGCTAGGGAATAAAGTTTTCTTCACGTTTGACCGCAAAGTTTTATTTGGGCGAAAAAAGTGAAAGCCGTTTACAACTCCCTGTAACACCGAATTAGAGCGCAGCTCTTGAGGAGGAGGAGGGAAGGGTACTGAGGGGCGAAGTGACCTGGGGGGGGGGGGGGTCACGTGACGATGCCAATGATGTCATCAGTGACGTCACTGATGACGTCATCCGTGATGATGACGATGACGATGCGGATGCCGGTGACGTTATCAGTGACGTCACTGATGACGTCATCAGTTATGATGACGATGCGGATGTCGGTGACGTCATCAGTGGCGTCACTGATGACGTAATCCGTGATGATGACGACGACGATGCGGATGCCGGTGACGTCGTCAGTGATGTAATTGATGACGTCATCAGTGATGATGAGGATGACGATGTGGATGCCGGTGACGTCATCAGTGACGATGACGTCATCGGGGAGGTCACGTGACCTCGGCGGGGGGTCACGTGACCCTGGGGGTGATCACGTGACCTCGGGGGGGGGGGGGGGGGTGGTCACGTGACCTCGGGGTGTCACGTGACTTTGGGTGTCACGTGACCTTGGGGGCCACGTGACCTTGGGATGACCTTGGGGGTCGCGTGACCTTGGGGTGACCTTGGTTACGCCGACGGCGACGCCGACGCCGCTCAAGCCGGGAACGGGCCCCTAAGAGCTGCGCTCTAAAAGAAGGCGTACCAGATGACGCGTAGCCCCAATGGTGCTCTGCGCCGAAACGGTGCCAAAATGGTGGTGGTTCCCTCTTTCCTGTCTTGCTCCTTGGGTACTCTCTCCCTTTTTCACTTCGTCAGCAGACCTACTGGCCCTTCCCCCAATGGCTCGGCACTCCCTTCCACGCAGCCCCGGTCGGCCTGGTGTCCACCAGCGGGTGGCTGTCGGTGTACTTCCGCCGGGGCTGGCCTCCTCCGCAGGGCTTCAGCGCCACCTTCCGGCGCCTGGACTGCCCCGGCGCCTGCCCCGGCGTGCCCCGGCTCCAATGTGCACCCGACTCCTCGGACTGCGCGTGTGAAATGGGGGGCTCTGTGGGCGGCCGCTGCCAGCGACCCCCGTGTCCCGACGACTGCTCGCCACCCGCCGGAACCTGCGACAAGGTCGGTCGCTCGGGTCGGGGCCGGATGTGGCGAGACGCTGCTCTCGCGAGCCCGGCGGTCGCGGCGGTGGCACGTTCGTCGCCGTGTCACTGCGTGTACCGTGACGGGCTACGTCGGGCGGAAGTGGAGAGGCGCCGTCGGAGAAAGCCGGTCGGACACGTGGCCCGCGTGACGGCAGCTCTTGGTTGCAGGGCTACGGGCTGTGCCGGTGCGAGGACCCCTGGACGGGTGCAAGCTGCGGCCGGCGTCCGTCCCCGGGTCAGCCCCGGTGGGCGCTGCTCTTCGACCTGGAGCGCTCCTTGGGGGCTGCCCAGGGTCTGCCCCGGGTGCAGCTGGGGCACTCCCTGCTGGCCCGGGAGCCCAGTCAGCTCTGGCTCTTCGGGGGCACGTGGCCGGGCGGCGCTCCCAGCGACGCCCTCCACGTCTACGACCTCGACTTCAACCGCTGGAAGGAGGTGGGTCGTCCGACGAGCCCCTCAACGACCGCCCAAGGGCTGGTTGGGCTCTGGCGGGCGTCCCGAGCTCGGCCATTTCTCTCGTCGGAGAAGCGATTCCACCGGACGTAGAGACTTTTTATTTATTTACCCTAAAGGCCGTGACGGGCATTACGTAGGGGGGGAAGCAATGATACAAAGTTTGATACAATTGAGTGGAAAAAAATGAAAACCGTTGCATAGTTGTCATAAAAAATGTTAAACGAGCAATAAACAAAATAACAAGAACACTGGATGAAAACAACATAAGCAGCACTATATAAATGGATGCAAATTACTTAAAGAACGAATGAAGATATCGGGTGAAGTGAATAACGCGATTTTTCTAGGCAGGCTGTTCCATTCGGAGATGGCAAGAACCAGAGGGGAATTATCGAACTAGTGCGGGCAAAGATGGGCGATACTTGAAAGTGTCTACGCGAGACGAAATGCGATGCGCAGGCTGAATGAAGGAGGTCCCGAAGGGAGATACGATAGAGCTTGGGGAAAAATGACGTGCGAGCAATATGTACTGCAATTGGCTTAGGTTGCATTTTATGTTGGACACACTGGAAGTAGGGGAGAAGTATAAGATCTTGCAGCTTTGTTTCGAAGTGCCTCCATATGGTTAGTGAAGCTGGTGCCAAAGGATGGATGCATATTCCAACTGCAACCTGACCAGGCTAGGAGAGGCGAGCAGTTTCTTTGGTAGCTCGAAACAAAAGAGTGTCTAAGAAAACCAAGAGTTCTGGATGCTTTGCAGCTTACATGTTCAATATGAAGATTCCATGATCTGTTAGCTGGACGCCCAAGTATTTAATTGACGTTCTCAATGTGGTCCTTTTCAATCGTGTGACGAGTGATTTGGAATTTTGTTGTAAAAGTGACAGCTTTAGGTTTGTTAGTGTTTATTTGCATTACCCATGTGGTGCACCATTGCTGGACTATGTCTAGGTCCCGCTGGAGTATGCCAAGATCCAAGGGGTTAGAAATGACCCGATAAATGACACAATCATCCGCAAAGCGACATATGTTAGATTGAATGTGAGCGTGAAGGTCATTTATATATAAAAAAAAACAATACCGGACAGAGGGATGCCGGACTTCACCGCCATAGGGGAGCAAACACACTTGTGAATTACAGCAGGTGGAGAGTGCTTTGGTAAAAAGGCAGCTATCCACTGAATAACAGAAGCGTTCAGATTCATCCTTCCTAATTTGTTTATTAGTCTGTTATGTGGAACCCGATCAAAAGCTTTAGCAAAATCAATAAAAATAGCATCGGTAGGACAAGAGGAGTGAACAGAAAGGTGAAGGGGTCAGTAGTCAATTCAAGTAGTTGTGTCTGCTTTGCAGCTTCTCCGATACTTTTGCTACTGCTACTACACCGTGCTTGGACGAAAGCCCAACAGAACTCGTGAAGGTTGTTCTCGATCTTCCACTCATCCATTTGGTAGATAATTTTCTACATTCATAGTTAATTTTAATCTAACTACCGTAATATCCCGAGTCATCACCTAGTCTCCTTTTTGGTCGAATTTCGATTTCCCAAAAAACACAGTGATCGCCCTCCCCTGCAAAAACACCTACGCAGACTTCACTATCCGCAAACATTCGTCCTACCCAAATGCCACGGCTTTTACCCACGGAGAACGTCTGTGAGAAAGTAAAACAAAGGAAAAAAAGGCGCTTTGCTTTGTTTACGCGTTTCCTCCCCGATTTTCGAGACCCCAAAGTCGGAGCAAATGCGTGCGAAAGGAATACGATGGAGATAAGAGAATAAAACTTTGTTTTGCTTACTAAAAAGTTTGTTCAGACAAAAAACCAAAAAACTTTCAGTTTTTCCATTCTGGTGAAGAAGGAAGACCAGCGAAGCTGTACTATTGTGGGACGACCTCAAGGGCAACGTCTAGGACGACCTCAAGGACTACTTCTAGGACAACCTCAGGGACGACGTTTAGGACGACCTCAAGGGCGACGTCTAGGACGACCTCAGGGACGACGCCTAGAACGACCTCAAGAACGACGTTTAGGACAACCTCAGAGACGGCTTCTAGGATGGCCTCGAGGACGACCTCAAGGGCGACGTCTGGGACGACCTCAGGGACGACGCCTAGAACGACCTCAAGAACGACGTTTAGGACGACCTCAGAGACGGCTTCTAGGATGGCCTCGAGGACGACCTCAAGGGCGACGTCTAGGACGACCTCAGGGACGACGCCTAGAACGACCTCAAGAACGACGTTTAGGACGACCTCAGAGACGGCTTCTAGGATGGCCTCGAGGACGACCTCAAGGGCGACGTCTAGGACGACCTCGGGGATGACGCCTAGAACGACCTCAAGAACGACATTTAGGACGACCTCAGAGACGGCTTCTAGGATGACCTCGAGGACGACCTCGGGGATGACGCCTAGAACGACCTCAAGAACGACGTTTAGGACAACCTCAGAGACGGCTTCTAGGATGGCCTCGAGGACGACCTCAAGGGCGACGTCTAGGACGACCTCTGGGATGACGCCTAGAACGACCTCAAGAACGACGTTTAGGACAACCTCAGAGACGGCTTCTAGGATGGCCTCGAGGACGACCTCAAGGGCGACGTCTAGGACGACCTCGGGGATGACGCCTAGAACGAGCTCAAGAACGACATTTAGGACGACCTCAGAGACGGCTTCTAGGATGACCTCGAGGACGACCTCAAGGGCGACGTCTAGGACGACCTCGGGGATGACGCCTAGAGCGACCTCAAGAACGACGTTTAGGACAACGTCAGAGATGGCTTCTAGGATGGCCTCGAGGACGACCTCAAGGGCGACGTCTAGGACGACCTCTGGGATGACGCCTAGAACGACCTCAAGAACGACGTTTAGGACAACCTCAGAGACGGCTTCTAGGATGGCCTCGAGGACGACCTCAAGGGCGACGTCTAGGACGACCTCGGGGATGACGCCTAGAACGAGCTCAAGAACGACATTTAGGACGACCTCAGAGACGGCTTCTAGGATGGCCTCAAGGACGACCTCAAGGGCGACGTCTAGGACGACCTCGGGGACGACGCCTAGAACGACCTCAAAAACAATGTTTAGGACGACCTCAAGGACGACTTCTAGGACAACCTCGAGGATGACTTCGAGGATGACCTCGAGGACAACCTCGAGGACAACCTCAAGGATGACCTCAAGGACGACTTTTAGGATGACATCTAGGACGACGCCTAGAGAAATTCAACCTTTCCACTCTGGTGAAAACCAGAGTGGAAAGGCTGGAAAGGTTGCCGCCATCTAAGAGCGAGGCGAGTAAACCGGTTGCCTGGTTGCCGCCGTCACTCATAGATGGCGGTAGCTGTCCAGAGTTTTGTGTCGGCATTTCTTTGCGGGGGACACGATCCTGGGGAACCTAGCCCCGAACAGTTCCGCCGTAAAATTGGATTGATAAGGCAAGCAGTAACCCATACAGGGGTTGCGAGGGCAGCGAACGCCCCGTATCCTGGGAATGGAACTGCGGTGTGTAAGGTCAAAGTCCATCTCCGCCAAAGTAAGGTCACCGCGAATACCCGATCATTCTTCCAAGACGTCGCGACTGTGCTTTTGTGAGGTTGTGCAATGTTTGAGACAAAGCCCAACTGAAGGAAAGATTTGCTGGTACGCCACACATAGACGTTTGTAGAGCGTCCCATTTCGAGCTCCGTGTTCGCGGTGCCGTTCACGCCACGGAGCAACGCCGCCTCAACTCACGTTGATTGCATGTTGTGCACGGACACGTATGTACCAAGCACAGTGATGGAAGTGCCGTGCCATTTGGACCAAATTGCGCCATGAACGAAAGTCTGCCACATCTTGCATCAAAATGCCATTTTTGCTAAGATTTGTGCCACACCCGTGCCGAGGTGGACTCGAAGCAAAAAGAAATAATATTTTATTATTGGTCGGCCCTTAGATTTGTGGAAGTAAAAGGAAGGAGAAATTGTACAAATATGTATTTCACGGCGTCTCTACTCCCCGTATAGTTTGTTTCGTCTTAGGTGAGAGCAGAGTCGAAGGCTCCAACACGCACAACTGCAAACACGCACACTACAAGAGGACGTCGCGGGACATTCGCCGCACTTGGTCTAGCCGACGAAGAAACACTCGCAAAGAGATGACGAATGCCACGGTGTCGTGCTTCGATGCTGCGAATCAACCGGCAAGGGCCGTCGATGCCGGGCATCAACGGCTCTGGCCGGTGGATGCGCCGGCCGGTCGATCGCCGACGTCGTCTACATTTCTGGACGATGACGTCGGGAACTGAGGGTCCCGAGAAAACTTTGCAAATTGGTAGGATTGCCTATTGCATCTACCGCGATGAAACAGAGCCACGGTCTTGTACTCCCGAGAAGATAGTAACCTGTCTGTGAACAAAAGGTAAGGGCACAAACGAGCTGGTGGTGGTTAAACATTTGGAAAAAACCCCGAGACTGGGACAATAAGGGACGGACAAACACAAAGTCTCAAACACAGCTGAATTTTATTTGACAACGAAGGCTGCTTATATAGGCGTCAAATCCTACACAAATCAAAAGAGAGGGAGTACACAACACAAAAGAGACGAAAGAAAGAAAGGGAGAATTGGGGAAACCCGTGCCTCAAGCGGTACAACAAAAAAACAAGTATTACAAAAGAACTGAGAAGTGGTGAGATCGTTTATACAAAAGCAAAGTAGGACTAAAGTGCATTAGTCGTTTATACAAAAACAAAGTAAAAGGACTGAAGTGTTTTTTAGTCCCCAAGAAGCCCCAACACTAACAGGAAGGACGCAACGAACAAACGACCAGAAAACAATAAAGCGAAATGACTTAAAATCGGACAAAGGCCTCAACAGAACAATTGACAAGACGCGCAGACATCAAATTTGTAGGAACTTTCTTTGTTCTTTATCTATTGTGTGGGACGGCTTATTTATCGCATTCCCACGATTCATGATTGTTATAGATTCTTTTATCA